TGAACTCGGCTGGTGTTGGGACTGAGTGGACGGGTCGAAGTGCCGGGGGAGGTTTGGTTTGCGAGGCGGTGGAGGGGGAGGGGGAAGGTGGAGGGCGGGTGAAGTTGCCGGGGGGAGGGGGGGGAAAGGGGTTGCCGCCGGGAGGGGGGGGGAGAGAGCCGCCAAAGGAGGGAGGACGAGGGCCGGGGTGTGGTGGGAAATGGGGACTAGGTTGGCCGTAGGTCTGACAGGGAGTCGGATGTGTAGTTGGCGGTGTCCATGTCGTGGAAGAGCATCCGTAGGAAGGTCCGGACAGGGCCCCGCACGGGTTTCCGGCCATGTTGTTGCCGTACATGATGCCGTGATGATGGGATGCCGTGGGCGAAGGCTGCGGTGGTAAGTTTTGCCTTTGGAGCATCGGAACCAAACCTCGAGGGGGTTGGAAAGCCATGCGAAAAACACGGGGGAAAAGGAAAAGTTCGAACCAAAAAGCTGGTGAGCGGAATCAAGCGGGTAAGGTCACAAGGCGAGAAAACGGTCGCAGAAAGGCAGAACAGCAAAGCAAAGAAAAAAGGCGATCAAACAGTGCACCAATTCTTTTCCTGGTTGGGTGGAAGATGGTACACTTGCGCCCCGCTAAGCCGGGCGCTGCAGCGCGATGCCTCTCAGCATCGCAAACTTGGAGTGAAGGCACCACTTTTTGCCTCGGCGGCATGCGAAGTGGCGCCGCACGTTGTGTTGATCCTCGTGGCTTCCCCCGGATTCGAGGATTTTGTGCTGATTGATGGAGCGTAGTTCCCCAAAAGCGATGGCGCCGAGTTGAGACTTTCCGATTGTAAAGTTCTGCAAGAGCTGGCCGAGCGTGTCGGGCGTGCATGCCGTGGGGGTGGCCTGAGCGTAGCATCCAAAGCTCGGGTAGTCATGGTTCTCGGGCCTCCAAGCAGCGGGTCGGATCATGTTCTCATGGCACATGCGGCGCGCTCGATCCGGGGTGGTGCCGTGCACATACATGACAGCGTGATGGGAGGCCGTGCCGGATCCAGCTTCCGGGTCTCCGCCAGCAACTGGCCAAGGATGAGGTCGGGGAAACCAAGTGGTTGCGAACACCATGCCGTGTGATTCCCGTCCCAAGAGGTGGTAGAAGCTGGGATCGAACGGTATGGGATCATCCGTGTCCATGGTTCGCAGTTCCCAGCATTCCGCGAGGAGATCGGCATGTGAAGGTGGCAAAGCAGGGTCCAGGTCCATCAAAATGGCCTTAGTCTGTTCCATCCTGGAGATGTCCAAGGCTGGAAGCGGGTCCAGCTCCCCCAACTCCCTAGGCGTGGGAACTCGCAGCGGGTCAGTCTTGGCCGTGTCCATGACGTTTCTCCATAGATCAAGCCACCGGTTGTCGGAAGTGGTGGTGGCGTTGATGTCCGCCTCCGATGGAGGGGGATCCAAATCACCGGTGTTGTCGGAGGGGGGTTGGGGAGGGTGAGGAGTAGCCGGCGTGGGTCGGGGAGGGGGAGGGGGAGTGGAAGTGAAGGCCGCCGCAGGTGCTGGGCGAGGGGGCAAGCTGGTGTTGTGGTGGCCGGTGCGGGAAGTGGGGTGGGGTTGCTGCCCATGGTGCTGCAGTGACCAGGACGATCGTTTGTCCTGGTTGTTTCGGTGGCCGGTGTGGCTGGCGCCGTGGTGGTGCATGTCCCAGCGGTTTTTGTTCTGTGGTGGGTATCCCCACGATTGGTTCCGCCAGTGTGAGGAGGACCATTGAGACTTGTTGGGATCCTTCCCGGAAGTGCGCCAGGAGTCCTTCCCGGAAGTGCGCCAGGAGGTGGAATCATGAGTAGTGTGAGTGGGTCGGTGCGAAGTCGTGGCACTGGGTGCAGGGGAGTGTCGATGGTGGGACCTGTGTCGGGGGGAGCGGGAGCGGAGGGAGACAGTGGAGTGGTGTGCACGTCGGGAGTGGTGGAGTGTCGGGAAAGGGAACGTGACCTGCTGTAGCTGCGGGATCGTCGGGTGTCGTGTCGTCGGTGCGACTTGTTGTGCCTGCGATGGTGGCTGGTGTGGGAGTGGGAGTGTCGGTGCTGCCTGTGGCGGGAACGGGATCTGCGAGAGTGGGGAGGGTGCCGAGTGTCCGGGGGAGGGTGGTTGGTTGAGGAGGTAGCGGCAGGAGCCGCAGCGGCAGCTTCGGGCGCGCGCGCCGGCTGAGGCTCGGGCAGTGAAGATGGCATGCTGCTCTGAGTCATGAAAGGCATGATGGTGCCAGGTGCCAAGTTGCCGTAATTGGGAGGGCCACCGTAGGGCATCATGGCCATCGGGTTGCCAAAATTCGAGAGGCCGCCGTAGGGCATCATGGGGAAAGGTGTGAAGGATGCCGTCTGCGAGTTGGGCGACGGTACAAGGTTCATGGGCTGCGTCATCTGGGATGACAGCTGCAAGTTCGGTCCACAATTGCCTGGTGAGCCGGACGCGGTGCCGGTCGCAATGCTGTGCAGGAGCGAATGCATCATGTCATAGAGCTGGTGTCCAGCCATCTCGCAAGGGAGAGAGAAGGTTGGAAAGGGGTGAAAACAAAACCACACCTGCAGCAGAAAAGCGTCAAAGGTGCAAATGCATGCGAGCCAACTTCAACCTGCGAATCGAAACCAAACAGAGGGAATTCCACCAGGGGACCGCCAAAACCCCGCGGCAACGGCAAAAGTTTTCACAGAAATGCATGCGAGCACACAGGGGTTCTCAGAGGTGCCTGTCAAGTGGCCTCATGAAAGTGCCTCATGTGGCTCATGTGGCTATGCCGATGAATCTGAACTGAACTCATCCGAGACGAAAGCTTCCATAAACGCCACGAATTGCAGAGTTGGTGTATGACCAACTCGTCACTGGCGCATGAAGCTTAGGAGCCTGAAACCTCGTGGGTGCAGCCTTGCTTCAAAGGCAGGCAGTGCAGGCAGTGCAGGCGCATGAAACCAGCAGAGCACCATTTGGGTGCGGAATACCTTAAGACCTCAAGCTGCAGCCTTGATCGTGGTCAAACGCGCTGAACTGAACTGCAGCTTGAACTTGAACACTTGAACGGTCTTCCCCTCGCAGGGGGCTCCCGCATATGGCGAGTCCAGCCCACAGCGCCATGTCGGACAGGCCGTGGGTAAACACACTTATCTCGAGAGGCTTCACTAGCCGAGATGCAAAACGCAGTCAGTAAAAATGCTTGAATGCAAATGCAAATCAACAGGTCACAACATCGACACCGAACAGGAAGCAACAGCGACAAACAGAAACCGCAAAAAGAATCAGGAAAGAGGGTCAGGAAATAGGCAGGTACGCCGGATTGATCAGATCCGGTATCCACCGAAATGCCGTAGCTTCATTGGACTGGATAGGCAAATCGGCTCCAGTCCCCCTGCAATGTGGAATTTCCGTCCGTGCTCCAGGACGCTTCACACACACACACACACACACACACACACACACACACACACACACACACACACACACACACACACACACACACACACGCACATTCACTGACGCATTTCGGTTCCCCACCCAAAACAGAAGGGATAGCCTCAGCAAAGACTGATGGACAAAACCCCGATGGATGAAGCACTATACTGAACCACCTGCCAGCTGGTGCAGGATTCTGTCCATCCACATTGGGGTTGGTTGCCTTCCCTTGGGTGTGAGATGATAGGTTTCTGCATCCGCTTGGCACAAATGTTGCAGGATGTTTGCCTTGCCCGCGGCCCGCGGTGAGGGAGGTTCTCGCAACATGTCAGTATTACTTCGCGTGACTCAGCAGCCACCCCAAAGAGAAACCAAGGTCCCCTATGTTAAGACACACGCACACAAATGTCGCTCATCACAATTTAGAAAAAGTAGGTTCATCACAACTTAGAAGAAGCAGAGGTCGCACATCCTCAGAGTGCCAGAATCTGTATTACGATTTAATCTGCATGCCGATGGCACAATGAAGCCAATTCGAAGGTTTCGAAGATTCCGTCCCGTGCCTGGAAGTTAAGCCCAATTGACCATGAACCACTGGGAATGATAGTTGAGCGGGATCACGCCAGGATTTCTGAGGATCCTTATCTGGCACCCCTCCATAGATGGAGTCCATCCGCTTCCGAAGCAGCTGCCATCACTCATCTTTCACAGGCATGTATCAAATTAAGGCGACCCAAAAAATTGGGTGGTTTGGCATATAGATCAAAAACGAAAAAACCGCCCTCGAGGGCAGGGCCCACAGCTGCGTGAGCAGTCACCCATGGGCTGCCACTCAGACCTCGTTTCGCCCGGCAAGCCAGGTAGATGCGGGCCCCGATTTGCCACCAATCCCAAGTGGGTCTGGGACTGTCTTTTGTCAGGGAACCCCTTGTTTGTGGCTTTGAGGGAAACCACCGGGAAAACCACCATGTGGGGGGGGGGGGGGGGCCAAAAAGAGGACGCGCCCAAATATGTCTTGTGTCAATGCACCAGCCGAAGGCGAACATGGGGCACAGCCATCAGTCCCAAAAATTGCTCTGTTTTTCCGCTCAAGGACCAACCGTGGACTGGCAATTTTTCGCCCAAGCCTCACATGTCGGCAGGCTCTCAGGCACACACCAGGCGCAGTAAAACTTCTTCTCGCAGTGACCTTGGCGCAAGCCCCCGTGGAAAATCCCGTCCCAAAGGAAAGCTGTTGCGGACAACTTCCACGTCCCAGGACCTGTGCAAATTGCTATACGTTGCTGCACAAACGAGCAAGAAATCCCTAGGACACAACACCTCGGGTCAGCGAGGGCTTTGTTCGGGTGTTCCTTAAAGGATACATCCGCCGAACCTGGGTATTGTGTGTGTGGGTGTTTTTTCGATTCAAGTCGGCACAAGTTGCCGGACTTGCTCCAAACGCGCGCGCCTTCGTGGTTCTGTACATGGCTTCGAGTATGGCATCGCAAGCAGCTCCGCTGTACAAATTGGGTTTGGCTAAGAGCGGCTCGGGCTGTCTCTGGGTCCAACTGCTGTAGGGAAGCACACAGAGAACAGCAGAACTGAAGAACAAATTAGTGGCGCAGCATGTCGCCCATCTTCTGAAAGAACTCTGGCACATCCAGCTTGTCCAACCTGGCATTCAGCACACGGGGCCCATCGCCCTGGTATGAATCCAGCGCCTCGCAGAGTTGGGTCTCGGTGGAGACGTCTACGCCCATGCCTTTGCTGGCCCCCAAGGCCTCCGGCAGCAGGTGGTAGTTCCAAACCTGGATGTCGTTGTAGGAGTCCTCCCGCTCCGGGTGGATGACCCGCTCGGCGGTGTACCCCGCATTGTTCAGGATGATAAGCATGAAGCGCAGGTTGTGCCGCAGCAAAGTGCCCAGCTCCATGCCTGTCATTTGGAACGAACCATCTCCGTCAAGACATACAACACGACGCTCAGGCGCCGCAAAGGCCATACCTATCGAGATTGGGAACGCACTGCCCAAAGACGCCCAATTCCCAGGTCCTGCTGTCACAGTGCCCCTTTTCAGGCGCATTCTTGACATGCTGACATAGCCACCGGTGTTGCCCGCAACGATGTCGCCCTCTTGCACAAAGTGCGCAAGCTGGTGGTACATGAAGTCCATGGTCAGGGGCTTCTGCTCGGGGTTGGCGGGTGGCCTGGTGTAGCTGAAAGCAAATGCATCCTCCACCTCGCATGTTGCACGTGGGGTGATCTGAGCAGCAAGACAAGGCAGCAGCTGTCGCAAGTAAACGCCCTGCACCACAGTACCCTGCAAATTGACTGAGTCGTGGCCCAGCTCAATCACGCACTCCTCTTTGATTCCAGTGCTTCCAAGAAGATCGAACTCCGCTCGGGGCATGCCAATGGTGAGGAGTATGTCGGCACCTTCGGTGGCATCGAGGACTTCGGGAGAAGTGGCGCCCTGGTAGCAGCCCACGCAGTTGGGGGAAGGTGTTCCAAGTAGCCGGCTTTCTGGGCAAACGTCGTTGCAAAGAGAAGGTTGCTCCTGGAAAGCATCTCTGCAACCACATCTTCAAGCCCGTCACGGTCCACGAACAACCCCACCAAGACTCCCACCTTCTCGGCCTTGTTCACCGCCGCAGCAACTTGATCCACCACCTGACGAAGCACGTGCTGGTCTCCGCAAGGGGGCTGGTAGTTGAAGGGCGCAGGCATCGGAATTGTGGCCTTTTGCATGTCATAGGGCATCTCCAGATACACTGGCTTCTTCTCGTCCAAAGCAACCTGCAGCAGCCGGTCGATGGTCGCCACGGCCTCCTCTGCAGAATCTATGCGAGCCACTGCAGCCGTAATTGGCGTAAACACTCGAAGTGTCGCACTCAAGTCGCCTCCAACGGAATGATGCAATTGCAGCTTCTTCCCGGACTGATACTCTGCTGTAGGTGGGGCACCGGACACTAAGAGCATAGGGACCCGCGCGTCATACGCACCAGCCACCGCATTCACTGTGTTGAAAGCGCCGGGGCCAAACGTCACTGCAGCAACTCCAAAGCCCCTGATTCTGCTGTATCCATCTGCCAGGTATCCAGCTGTAAGCTCGTTGCAGGTGCCAACGTGCTGGATTGGGCTTCCCTCTTCGATCAAGTGATCGAAAAAAGGCAAGACGTAATCCCCGGGAATGCCGAAGACGTGCTCGACTTTCACGTCCCGCAAGCGGGAGATCAGGAAGGACGACACGCTCTGTGCCATGATTTGTGCAACAACAAATGATCGTGTTGGAGGACAAAAGCTTGACCTTCAAGCGACCGGGCATGTGGGCATCAGAATTACATGGTTAGGACTCTTCTTAATGCACCCTCCCAACAATATGAAACTCAACCGGGTCCTAAAAGATTAAACGCGGTCCCATGGCGGGTTCCATCTTAATCGCGTGTAGACAAGGAGACCATTGTGTGCAAGGAGTTCCCTTACAGTTCCCTGGTTCCCATGTGATTCCTGTGCGGTTCCCTTGAGGCTCATGTGAGGTGCGGAGCCTGAAATACGTGTTCCCCAAGAGGACAAGTAGGTCCCGAAATCTGTGATACCAAAGTTGGATTCCCATCCCCTTTGACTACTTTACAACCGACACTCAGATGTGTGCCTTCCCCCACTGTCCCCCCAAAAGTTGAACGGCTGATTCGCGCGGACAAACTTCTGTGAGTGTTGGACATGTCAGACATGGGGCTGCGAGGTGACTGCCAACCATGGTGTTTTGGGCCCGAGAGCCTTCGCCCTTGGGACCGTGGTTTCCAAAAATGCCCCCATAACCTAGACAAGCACCAGAACACATCCGGGACCGAGGAAAGCACCAAACCCCTTTCGGGGAATGCTTGAATGCTTTTCCGACGCCAAGCTGTTTTTTGGGAATTCTAGGTTAAAATGGTTCCTGAAGACAAACCCCTACCCAGTGGATCCCTGGCAGTTCGCCACTATAGCTTTTGGGTTTTCTATTGGCTGGTCCCCTTGGCTACCTGCCTTTACCAAGTGGAATCACTGGGCATGTTGAGTTCGGTCTAATCCGGAGTGGAATCCCCCAAAAGTAGTTACCTCAATTTGCTTAAGACCCCTGAAAAAAAAACAGTAGTGATAGATTCAAAGGATCGCTGGGCCCAGATCCAACAGAATCCTCCGAGGCGCTCTCGCACTCGCCCAGCTCCTTGGCAGCCTTCGAGTCGCATGGCCTCGGGAACGAGGGGGGTGAGGGGGTGGGGGGAGGGTGGGTAAATCTACCAAGTCTGACTCGGGGAAGTAAAAAAATGCAAGCCTAGCTTGGTCCCAAACCATTTAATTACTTGCAACCCGATTGGACATGGCAACCAAAATCAGTGGCTATACATGGGCCATGTGGGCGTGGGGTTCGTCAATCACGGGGCATCGTAAAATGTATTGTTGATAACGACAACTAAAAGGAAGTCAGTCAGCGCTCAACGTTAAGAAAGCACCCAGAGGCTACTATGTTTTCGCTGCAAAGGGTGCATGTTTGAAAGTTGAACAAGGCTTCCCTCGGAACCACGCAGTGTGTGTGTGTGTGTGTGTGTGAGTGTGCGTGCTCAAGGAAAGCTGGAGTGAAACTCCTCGAGTTGCCGTATCCGGTGTTAAATCCAGATAGAGAGTTTCCCCACACTTCAATGCAAGGCCACAAATGTTGGCTCTCCGACGTCTTTGGGTTGGTCTTCCTAAGATGGCAAGGGTGTCCTTTACCCGGTGATTCCATTTACCTGTCTAGCGGGTATCCAAGGGAACCAGCCAATTAAAAACCCAAAAGGAAACTTGTTGGTTGCCTACAAACGTGGCAAACCTGGGATCCACTGGGTTTGGTTTCCCTTTATCCGAAAAGCGAATCCAATCATTTTGAGACCCGCCGATTCCTTCCTGGTCCAGACCCAATTTTTGAGAAGTGAATTTGGTGCGCCCGCGCAGAATATGGATTTGCATCCAAATAAAGGTTGCAGGTTGCACCGTAAAATGGGCTTCGGTTTCCTTCTGACAGACCCATTTCCTCATAGCACTCCGCGGCTCGCCAAAACATGTCGACCCCCTTACCGCAGATACCGTAAGCCTTTGCTTAAAACCCATTGACTCTTGTTTCTAACATGGTTACACATGAGGGTTATCTTTTTTTAAGGGTACCCTTTGCTTGTGTCTGTTTTCAACGGCAAACCACAAGAGACACAACCATTTTTTGTGGGCCCACGGGGAACAAAAAAAACATATGGTTTGTATGAGCCAAACCTGCCGAAATGAGCCCAACAGTCGAGACCGATCGAGGGCTCCCAGCTTGCCACAGTGGTTCGGCACCTTCGCGATGTTGCCTCGCGAAAGGAGGGCCGTGCCAGTGGTTCTTGAAACGCCGAGATGGGGCCCCATCTTGTAAGGGAACCCCCAAAAGATGGTTGTCCTTTTTCGGCTTCCTTTTTGAAACCACAATAAATGGGCTTCTTCCTTTTGGGTTGCCTTAAGGGGTAGCCCTTAAGGGGTAGCCTCAAAAAAAGACACAACCAAATGTTGACCCCTCATGAAGTTACACCCAAGGAAACTGCTTTTTTGACCAAGCAGTAATAAACCCATTCCATTACTAGGATAGAGGAAAGCCTCTCCACAAGTGATGAATAGCTGCCAAAAGGGGACCCCTGCCCCCTTGCTGATCACCATGGGTTTATTGATCCGGGGTTCCCATCAACTCTGTACGCCAAAAATGGTTCCTAGTCTGTGTGAAACAAATGTCATGTTTTCTCGGACCCCACCCCGGCCCATGAAAGATCTGCGGAAGCAGGAGGCCGGGACCCGCATTTGAGAGGTTTTCGCATCTAGAAATTTAGCGCTCGACATGTGGATGTTCGCCTGTTTCTCCAAACAGTGATTCATCTTATAAAACGGCACTTGGATGTCCATTGCTTTCCCTACCAAACTCCCATTTGAACTTAGAACTGTCTGATTGGATTTGCCAAGTCTCTGGTGATTATTTTGGTTGATTGGTTGGTTGGTTGGCTGGCTGGCTGGCTGGCTGGCTGGATGGCCACTTAGTTGGTTGGTTGGTTGGTTGGTTGGCTGCTTGGTGGGTGGTTGCTTGGTTTGAAGGGAGCCAAAAGGAAATCCATTTGTAAGGGCCAGTTGCACTGATGCGACCTGTTCTATTCCCGCAGTTGGTGGCTTGGTTTGATAGTTACATTCTAGGGGGCACTGGGCGCGAAAAGGGGAGTTCAACCCCCCCAAACCGCCAATACAAACCGCCATTGGGGGTGCTTGATGTTGTCCCCCCACCCTTCACCAAAAAAAACACGAGACCCGGGCGGTGCCGGAAGCGTTGATTGCCGCACCTCGGCAAAGGTGGTCTCAAACTAGCCGAGGGGCCGTCCAAAACTGGCTTTGGGGTTGCCCTTGAACCAAATGATTTCGACTCCCAAACGAAGCACACACAACTGGCGCCAGATAAGACACCATGCCCAAAAGGAGATCGTCCTGCTCCCAAAGCGGAAAACTGACCAACAACGGTATCCTCTTTCCAGTAAATGTGACCAAGGATGGCCGCATCCCAGTCTCTCCAAGCCCTGCAGCGTCTGCCTGTGTTTTGACCGGTTCTCACCCCCTCGCCCAATAGCGTTTCCAATTGACCCAGAGCGAGAACCAGGGGTGCATATCCAAAGTTCCGACCAATGAGGGTTTGCTGGTCTCTGGTGGATGTTTCGCCAATTTCCTGCGGACATGTCTCTTCTTGCTGGTTTCCATCAGCTTCCCCCCAATTTGTGGTTTGGATTGGTGGTTTCGGTGGTGAAGGCGGAGGTTCCCATTTACCCTCTACAAGAACCAGGGGTTCAAAACCAAATCCAAACCACCAATTCATGCTGACCCGTGATTAAGACACACATCCCCACATTTTCTTAAGGCGCGTCCCTTTTCGGTGGGGAATCCTTCTCCCCTGTTGGCATACGAGGATGTCTTGGCACGGCCAGCACTTTCAACCAGTGCTTCAGATCCAAGGGTTGCCTGAGACCATCCAACCAACCAACCAACCAACCAACCAAGTCCTAGCAAAAAACCAGCCCCTGCAAAAGAAAAAAAACGGATCCCTGAGACCACGTTTCAAGAAAAGACCAAAAAAAAAAGACGCAAGCCCGCGGCCACCGCCCACCACACAGCCCCAGCACCCCCAGCGCTCCTGGGGTCCCTGGCTGAGTGCAGGCGCCCCACTGGGACCAGGCCTCCCAAACGCAGTCCAAGCACACCTCGTGGTCGCACCTGGGCCAAAAAAAAACACGGGCCGGCAAAAACCGCGCCGGTTTTTAGGCCGGCAAACTCATTCACTGGATATGAGTCTTAAACAAAATAGTCACCACAAACACATGTGAAACCGTGGTGAATCGCCAGCCGTCATTTACTGGGTATGGGTCAAAAGTAAACCACGACCACTCTGCAAGGTTTAGTCCATGTCGCAAATGTTTCCAGGGCAAGCCATTTTGGGGTTAGCCGATTTTTGAGCCTACGGACCTTTGGGCAAAAGAGCGATCGAAACCAAACTGAAGCCAGTACCATCAATGTTCAAACAAACTGAGCCCTACTGTGGATGGACCAAATCCTGCACCAGTGGGTGGTTGGTCCCAGTCTTAGGTTTTGATGCATCCCAACTGGTACGAGATGGATTCTGTCCATCCTCCGGACGGGAGCAGGGTGGAGCAACTGTTTTGGTGCCCCGGACCAGTTGGGTTACCCTGGCCCCCCGCCCCCATGTTTTAAGGCTCTTTCCCTTACAAAATCAATATGGAACCCAACTAGCCTTGTTGATTCATAGGGGGGGCCGCTGAAAGTGGGGGCTTCTCCTCACTTGTGTGGGGTGGGTTTCTTGTGGGGTTCCCTCTTTGGGATTTCTCTCGCTGGGCGGGCGGCGGCTCATCGTTGCAGGGCTCCATCATCGAGAGGGCGTCCTCGCAGGCCCTCAGTTTGGCTCGCGGTCCGAGAAAGACTTCTCCTGCACCCACCCCTTTGGCTTGAAAGCCTGACTGAGGGAAGGAACAAAGCGAACAACCCAAAACGAGATGCCGCCCAACCAGTCCAAGTCACAAAGGAGAGCTCTTTAACCCCAAATCATCACTCGAACCATACCTGGGCTGTCCGTTTTCAGATCCCCTGCTAAAAGTTTTTCACTTGTGGTTGAAACCCAACCACTGTTCACCAACTCAAACCCTACAAAAGCTGGGGCACCGGATGGCTTTGGAACCAAAAATTCGAGAACCACACTTCCCCGTCCAAAGCTCCCGGCGCACCGCCGTTCTCTGCCGGGCTCAGGATCTCGGAGCCAGCCAGCGATCCAATTTGGTTCCCCCAAACCCCACCCCCAGACCTCAGGTTCCGATTGGTTGCCAGGGGCCCTCAAGAAGGAAGGGCCCCAAGCCTTGGTTTCCTCCGAAATCCGCTTGGATACGAGGTATCTGTGGGTAGCTGGAAAAACTAAGGGCAACTGGGGATCCAGGTATCTGTAGACCTCAACCATGGCAAGCATTGCATGGAAGGCGAATGAGCTCTGCACGTGTCGCACTCGGCTGCGGTGACCGCCGCCACAGGTCTTGCTGCACTCCGTCCTAAGCGGAGAACGAGTGACTAGGTGTCAAACGTTTGCACGTGGACTGCATCGACGAAATGCTGTAACAGTAGCGCACAAACCCACGAAGGCTACCCTTCACCTCAAAATGACACACCCGACTCTACCCGAAGACGCAGCCGATGCCATTCGATTGCGAGAAAGAAAAGCCTGAAAAGAAAAGTCGAGTGCCTTGAGTTCATGCCTTAAAAGCGAACAGCAACGACATGAATTAAGCAGCGTTCCTAACCCAAGCTGACTTTTTGTTCTACCAAAACGGCCGTCAAGGTTTGTAAGCCTGATTCTAGCCCAGGTACCACTTCCTACTGAGGATCTTTAAAAAACATATCCTAAGAAACCATGGGAACCCTTGTTTCTTGGTATATAATGTGTGTATATAATATATATATATATATACATATATATATATATATATATATCTTTAGGGGAATCATCAGAAACCAGCGACTCCGAACGGTGGTGCTTTCGAGATGGGTTTCGCCCGTCGAAATCGACGCGGCCGCTGGGGCGGTGGCCACTGCTCCCAGCTGCAGAAGACACAGGGCTTCGGGTTGTCCGGTTGGCAGCTGGCGGAAAGAAAGCGAGCGGATTCCGGCCCGCCGGCCGCGCCCCCCCAATGGCCCCCAAGAGCGTCGCTGCAAGATGTTTGAAAGAGATATGGACCCCGCCAGACGGTTGGGTTTTCCTGGTGGTTTGCCTGTGGGTTCCCTTTGGTTTCCCGGGGAAACCAGCCCAAAACAGGCAGAAAAAGCCACATTGTCTTTGAGGCATCGGAGTGTCAGTGCCTGATCTTCAAAAGTGCACCCAACTGAAAGTGCCTCTCAGAGCTCACTCCCAAACTTGGTAGCTTCCGTCAGATGCCCCAGTGGGTTCCCTTTGCCAGTCCTTAGTTTCCCTGGGCTCTGCCAACTAAGGGAACCACACACATCTGTGTCTTTCTTGAGTTGGTACCCCTTGTTTTGAAGTGTCTAGGTTTCAAGAGAAACCAGAAAGGAAAACTGGGGTCACTGGATTTCCCCTCCAAATGTTGATCAATCTACTGGTGCTGCCCATTGAAACGATCGCCGCCTTTGGAGGATCCACACCAAAAAGTAAAACGCTTGGAGTCACTACATCCTGTTGGTTGATTTTGAGAAACCAAAAGGACACCACCATTACTCGGTTGCCTGCTACAAGTTTAACTTTTAGTGGTTCAATGCGGACAACCCATTTGTTGGCAAAAAGTTCAAGTCCTAACATTCAAGCAAAATGCACCTCACATCACCTCACCATTCTGATGGGTCCAAACCCCATCCCAAAAAAAAAAAAGGCGCGCCACCCAGCTCGCTTCAGACAAACAAATCAAGATGCGCGAGGCAGGCTGGTAGGGCGGAGTCTCACCCAGCCCGGGGTTGCAGGGGCGCACCTGGCACTGATGGAAATGGATGGGACATGATGCGATCAAAGAAATTCTGGGCCCCACCCCAAAACAAAAATCATATCTCAAAGAAGTGTCCAACATGAGTTGGTGGTGTCTAACCCCCCCCCACCCCCACCCTCCTCTCAAGAAAACATGAAAAAAGACGTGTCCAGTTGGTTTCCCTTCAAATATCTTTGGCTTCCTCGCAAATGCTTCCCCTGGTTTCGCGCTTTGCCAAGCAACATGGTTTCCGTGCCACACTCGGGTGTGTGTTTGCAGCCACCCTACAAAACCAATACCCCCGAAAAAGGCGCTGCACAGACTCGGAAGCGTCCGCCAAAAGCAGCACCCAACGCGAAACAGCCATGGCACGTCGGGGGTCACACGATCCCTGCAAAAGTTGACCAATGTACTGGTGGATTCCCCTAAAAACGAGCAAGCCACTTTTGGAGGCTCCCTCTAAAGGGAATTGGCTCGGAACCCCTGGCCAGAGACCTGGCCTCTTTCAAGGACATGGTGGGGCAGGACTTGCCATTGCCCCTCGCGAACTGGGCCACCTGCGATTGGCTGGACGGACGCAGAGTCCCTTCTTCCCACAGAAACGTGTTTGGGGTTGGTTTTCTAGGGAGTCCAAAAGGAAACCTCTCATGTATGGGCTGTATGGGTGGCATTTTTTATCTGACACATGCGATGGACTGATATTTGTTTGCCTTTTGCTTCCTTCTGGTCGGCCTTTGAAACCAACCAACCGGGCCGGGGGGGGGGGGGTCAACGAAAAACGCAGACCGCGCGAGTCACAGCAAAAACCACACAAAAACCCTCTGAACCATCAAAAGGGCGGATTTCCGCTCCCTAGCCCTACCTTCTCATCCCTCCCAAACTCATGGATTGGTACGGGACACCAGAAGGAACCTCACCCATCTGGAAGGCACCTTGTCTTTGTGGGGTCTGAACAAAGACAACCACCGACCCCATCTTCGCCGCGAAAGCCCCCACCCTCATCGCGCGGAAACCTCTCCAGGCCCCAGGCGTTGCGCTGTCGCTCCTGCACGCCGAAGCACTTGCAGCTGCAGTCCGACCTGAGCAGCGGGGCTGTCGTTTTTTGCCGGTACCCCTTTTGGTGGGTTTTAAAGGGAGGCCAAGAGGAAAATATGATTTTTGGGAGTCCCCCAAAAAAGACAACGCCCAACCATACAATTTCAGAACAGGCTTTATTCTCTGAAACCGGGCAATTGCCCACTTCGGGAACCGTTCTCAAGTGACAAACATCCACAGCTGATCTCTTTGAAGGGTTGGACAATCCCCAATCAGAAAACGTGTAATGTTCAACAGCTACTGTTTTCACCAAGCTCTTGCGGCTTCCCTTAGCCAACCTTGGTCTGGACCAATCCCTTGTGCTCTCTCACTCTCTCTCTCTCTCTCTCTCTCTCTCGGTTTCCCGCCAAGAGCCCCAGGTGGACAAATGGCAATCCACGTCGTGTTCCTTGCTGCGACGCGCATCGCGATGTTGGCTCATTGGTCGGTCTGTTGGCTGGTTGGCCAAAAAGAGTAACGACGAGTATAAATAGGTCAAGCTCACCCGACATCTGTATTTTTTCTTAGACCGCAAAGAGCGAGGCCGTTTGACATATCCCACATCCAGCGAACATCGAGCCAGCTGGAACCAAACCCTTCCTGGGGCCCAGACGCAGTGGGCCAGTCCTTGACACATCTCATAGTCATCCTCCAGACCTGACAGAAGCGGCCGTCGCAAAAACCAACAGCCTGAGCCTCTACATCTCTCGGAAAGCAAAACGAATACGGGAAGGGACACAACCAATATCATAGACACCAGCACTCATGACGCAGGGATCTGCGAAACATTGCAATATGTCCAACTGAAACAGGACTTGCCCAAGTGGGGACATGGTGATCTCGGTTCAGCCCAAAGTGGAACTGGATGCAAGGAGATATGAGCACAACGGGACCAACTCCTGAGCCCAACCCCGGGGCACGCCAAAAACCAAATGCTCAGATTGTTCGGACTTTCGTCAAGCCAAAAAATCGAATGCTGAAGTTTCGGGAAATGCAACCCTATTGTCTCATATCTTGATTGCTACCCACCCCACCCCACCCAGCCCAACCCACCCCCCACCCCAAGCCACAAGCCTATGGCCGGCTTGCCGCAGCTGTTGGGGTGCTGCGCCACGTTGCGGTGCCGCACCCTGGCACACGCAAGCCGATGCGCACGTGTTCTTTTTCTTCCCACACGCCGATGCCCCCCCCCCCGCAGTGGCGGAGGAAAAGCCCACCGGGTGCTTGGTAGTTCACGGGAAACCTATTAAAAGGCGAAAAAGCCCAAAGGATGGTCCGGTCTTGGTCCAAAAAACAGACTTGATGCCCTCCCGGGCCCCAAAACGGTGGACACCCTATTTGAAAGGAGACTTGCGGCAAAACACTTTAGAGGCCCGAATAATCCTTTGAGGAACCCGAAAACAAAGAAGTCTTCCGCGTGAAGACCGTGAAGCGCCTGTAGGCGGGGTAGCAGTCGCCAGAGCACTTCCCCCAGGCGCCTCAGATGCCGCTCCAACGGCTGCAGCTGGCTTTCTGCGAGGAAAAACGAAGAAGACCCACCCGGATGGCCCAAGTTGCTTTTCTTGGAAGACACTTGACCCTAAAAACAGCCAGTTTGCTGGAAAGAAGCAGCAACTTGGCGATCCTGGCAGAGCAAAACATGCCAAACCTAAAACATCTAATGTGCCCTCTTTTGTTATTTAGCCCCAAACAATCCAATCGTGAAGGACGGCCAACCCCCCCCCCCCAAAAAAAAAGGAAACGAAGCACCGAATCCCGCGGGGCCCCTCGCCCCATTCGCTCCACATGCCGTCCACGCACTCGTCACAGCTCTGGGTGTTGCAGGGCAGCACCTGAGCCGAAGGCGGGGGGGACTGGGCGAGTCAACCTTTAAACCACGGCTTACATGGCTTTTAAGTGTTGGAACCTCAAAAGTGGTTGGTGGGAAATTCATCTTGACCGAAATGGTGGCCACCAAAGGATCCCAATTTGAAACTCATACCCACAAGGCTTTGACAAACTAGCCCAGACAAAGCAGCGGGGACCAAAAGGAAAGGCAGAGAGGACCGAAAAGTGGGTCCAATCCCTAAATTCCCGAGCCACCAATGTTCGCGCCAGACCGAAGTGATAGACGAAACTTTGCATCAGAGTTCCATCGCGCAGCGCCTCGTACTTATCCTTCGGCTCACAGAGTCGCCCCCCATTGCGCGGAGAGACCTGAGTCGTGAGACGTGAGTCCCGTGTCCCCAAGGTCTCTCTCTCTCTCTCTCTATCTCTTCGGATTCGGTGCATGTCCTATGGCAACTAAGGGCTTGATGTTGACTTCAGAATAAGCTCAGGTGATATCCCCAACAGCATGCGGTGCTCTTTTTAGTGCTCGCACCACCCCGCAGCCCTCGCAAAACCTCGTGGAACCCGGAAACATGGTGGAACCCTGGTGGAACCCTCGTAGAACCTTACCTCTGGGCTGAGACCCCAAAGCTTTCGGCTGTTGGGGAAAAAAAACATTGATTTCATTTACGTTAGGTAGCCAAGGGGTTTCCCACCCAATAAAAACCAAGGGGATTGGTTCGTTGGATACCCACACTAGAGCGGCGAAGCGCCTGGGATCGACTCGGAACCCCCCCAAAAAAACAAGAAGAAGAAAAAAACGCGTGAGGAATGATCCATGTTCCTGGATGGCCATGGGTAGCTTGTCCCATTTCGTGGGGATTGATCATCTTTTTCCTGGTGTTCCCCCAAAAGTCATCCAGTGCAAAGGACCGTTTGATCACCCCCCAATGTCTTCACCTGAAGTCCCGCGCCGCAATGATGCGATTCCGGCGCTTGATTCCACCACCGCAGGTGCAGGTGCAAGCACCCCACTCCTCCCACCTCAGCGGCGACCCTTGCTTCAAGAATACTTGCAAAAAGTGATACAGGGCCTTTCTATCCTCAGGCCGCAACCCAGAAATAGGGTGGCCCTCAAATGGGAATTGAATCGGTGTGTGGGCACTCACGAACCAAGTTGCAGCTGTCATCTCGCAAAACCTGTGTCCAGGCCATGAGTTTGTGTACAAACAGGGCCCTTTTCAGGTAACCCAACCAAGCCCAAAAAGGTCGGTCATGAGGGAACCTCCCAAAACAAAAATGTGACAGCCCGTGGCTTCTCTTTAAAAAAGTAACTCCAAAAAGGACGAGCACCCATTTGGATTCGCATGCGCCCAACTATGGAGCCCAAAGAAAATATCAACATAGCAGTCCAATCGATGCCCCTTTAAAGCATCAAAGCACCACGGCCCGCTTTCGCCTCAAAGAGACCGTGGCCCACTGAGCCTGCAGCAGGCCCCAGACGCAGTCGATGCCCTCGCACTGCCTCTCTTCGCAGGCCTTCACCTGAGCCGAACAACGAACCCAGGAGTTCTTCCCAGCTTGTCTCTAGGGGTAGATTCCCCATTCGTTTCAACCATCGTTCTTTTCAAAAACCGGATCTGTTTCCCCTGGGTTTTGATGGTTTCCTGAAAAGAAGGATCCCCGGAAAGAATGGGGAAGGTACCCCTAGATTGTCTCGAAAAGCTCCGAAGGGCTTGTCTCAAAATCCGGCCACTTGGGCTTCAACTTCAACCTAAACCAAAAGGTTGGCGCCAAAAAAAGAATGGCGACGCAGAGGTTTGCCTCAAAAAACCCAACAGAATGGCGTCACGGTCTCCACTTGGGTTTCGACCCAAACCAAAAGGGGCGCCAAAACCATGGCGACACACCCATGGTTCTCCGCCCAAAAAAACATGGCAGAAACGGAGTGTGTCCTCTGCACACGGGAAAATTTAAAGCTCAAACCGCACATGGGCCTCTTGACTGCCGGTGGTTTGCCAAACCTCACATGGGGAATTTGGGTCCAGTTTTTGTTGAGGGCATTCCACGAAATCTTACCTCAAAGTGGATGAATCATAATCAGAGCCTGGCATCAAAGCGGGGTGGTTTAACCATGTAAAGAATGAAAAGGGTGGAGATCCGGTCCGATTTCTGGTGATTCTCCCTTCAGCTACACGGGTTTTTTGCCTCACCTGATCCACGCCCGACCGGCACGGGTTCCAAAGGCGCCCTTCAGCTCCCCCTCAAAATGGGCGCTTGGTTTGAAGGTGTGGTTGGCGATTTCCAATTCATCCATCAAGCGGGTAATCTCCAAACCGGGGCCATCCTCATTGCAAAAGCGTTGAAAAAGGGCCCTTGTCCAGCCAAAACCCTTTGCCTTCCTCATTTTGATGTCCAGACCTTGCAACTCACCTACATCGGTGGTTAAATTCAATACAAGCCCGGCTAGTCAAATGGGAATGTCGCCGAGAACAAGACTTGGCACTCTGTTCCCTTGATTTCACTTGGGGTTCTTTCGACACCCCTCCAATTTCCAAAAGCTTGACCCCCCTCCAATTTCAATTCAGTTTGCACCCCTTTGGCCACTTCGCCAGGAAGAACTCTTAGACCCTAGACCCTATACCTAACCCTAGACCCCATAAATAAGCCCTAAACTGGATTTGACCTTAGACCCTTAGACCCTTAGACCCCACACGCCATGAACCCTTCGCCTCCTCTAGGGCGGTGTTGCAGCCCAGCGTGTCTCCGATCTCCAGGATCTGCCAACAGACCAACGACAGGCGTCTCTCCGAATCAATGCATGCGATTTTCGCGCCTCGCCGACTGCTCCTTCTTTTTGCGTGGGCGCCACTCTTTTTCGGTGGTGTTCAAGGGAAACCAAGAGGGAAATCGCCCAGCATCGATTCTGGGGACGAAGTCCTCCAATTTCCGTTAGGCTTCCTTTTAAAACCATTTAAAAATTCTTATTTTGAGACACACACCTGAATGTTTCATCCGTGACCCTTTGGCAGACATCAGAATTCGGAGATTCATGTCCGCCAACCATTTTTAGGTGGTTCCAGATATTACAAAACATCACAGCCAATCACCTCATCGCGCAAAACATCCGCGTCTGCGCCCAAAAAAGAGGAACCCGCCCCGTTGGTGCATCGTTAGCGCAATGGCAAAACAAGCAGTGGGTTTGGGTTGGGTTGGATGTGGCGCAACCTGCAACACCAAAGCCCGAGCTGCACCATCCCCATCCCGAATCAACCCCTTCCGGCTTCCCACCCCGAAATTGATTTGCAGGTTCTCCAGCAAGCTGACCATGGCTTCATGTTGTGACGCCTGAAGCGCAGTGGTTCATCTCTTCCGGTGATTTTGGGGGTGACCCATTCGAGACAAAGCCAGCCATGTCCGACTTGGAGTCTAGGGGGGTCACCTGGCGCGAGTCCGTGGGCCTTCCGTGAACGCCACGTCGCCCCCACGCCGCAGTCCTCAACCGACTCGGTCTCTGGGCTCGGTCGCTCGCATCGAACCCCGCGTCAGCTGGGGCCCTGGCCGAGGTACACTTGGTCCACTCCGTCCACTCAGACCTCGAGATGCCAAGGAACTCCTTTTTTAACGGTTTGGGAGGGGAAGTTCTGCTTTGGGCGTCAATTTAACCCCCCCCCCCCCCCCAAAAAAAAAGAAAAAAAAAAAAAACTCGAACTACGGGTGTCCCAAGAGCATTACATAGAGCGAGCGTGGATTTCAAGCATTTCTCTGTTCACATGTGTTTGCGAAGTGCTCGACGTTTAATCGACGTGTGCTCTCGTGTCTCTTGCTATGCATGGGCTCTTGTGCATGTTGCTCTGCATGTGCGCTCGACGTGTGCTCTAATGTCTCTTCCCACGGGTCGAGCTCGTCCATCTTGGTTTGTGCGTACGCTCGGCGTGTGGCTCCCGTGCATCTTGCGCTGCATGTGCGCGCGGCGTGTGCTCTCGTGCATCTTGCTGCTAAGGATGTTGCCGGATGAACCGCTCGCAATGCTTTCGGGAACAACAACTCAAAACAAACTTGAATGCCACCCCAAAAAAATAGGGGAAAAAAAGAAAAAGAACAAAGTTTGATCACACAAAAAAAAGAGAGAAAAAACAAGGTTGGATCGGCCCCGCTCTGCGCCTTCCTTTTCTTCCTGTCCCACACCGTCTTCTTGGCGCTTAGGGCTCCAGGCAGGCGGCAGCTACCATGCGAGCACTCCCGGTGACCTGGAAAAAAATCGAGCGAAGGTCGCAACGAACGGGCCTTCAATGTGCGGCTCGTCTTTTTTTAGGACCCCCAAAATGGCTGCGGTGTGTCCCTTTTGGGATTGCTTCCTTTTAGCACAAACAACATGTCCCCTCTTGTCAGTTTTTCCCCCTTTAGGACACACAAAAAACAACGCCAAGGTGCGTTTGCCTTTTTGAAAGACACTTTGCCCCAAAAACGGTAGTGGAACAAAAAGCAGTAACTGTGTCTGAATTTCTGCTGGACCCAAGGGGACCACAGATGTGGTTGTCTGTCTTTTCAATCAGGTTGGGGGACACGCTAAGCAGCCAAATGAGCGAAGGGGGGCCCAAAACCCGAGACCTGTGATGGTGTTGGACAAACAGAAATCCAAAAGACTCAAACTTCCAGACGGAGTAGAACCAACAGCCAATACAAATCGGCTTTGGGCCGTCAGTCTGAGATCCCTGCCACACGCGGCGGTTTCCTTCAGCACAGCGCCTCTGAGCGCAAAGGCTGGGCGCAAGAAGTGACTTGGACCCCACAAGATTCCTCCAAAGAAATCGCCTCTGTTGGAGCTCTTTCTGCTAAGCCTAGCCTTTTGTTTGCTTTTCTCCGCAAGCCGCGGATGGAATCTTCGCTGCGCCGCGCCTGTGCGGCTCGCTTGGCCCGGCAGCACGCAGTTGCCGTCGTCGGTGATGGTCCTTTCTCAAAACTGAGGGGACACCGTTGGATTTAGGGCAACCATCTCTCTAAGGCTTCCTTCCCCATTCTTTCCAGGGATCCTTCTTTCTAGAAAACCTCCGGAAGCCCAGGGAAAACGGCTGATTTTGAAAAGAACGATGGTTGAAAAGAATGGGGAATCAGCCCCTAGACTCTCCAGCAACCTTGACTGATTTGTTTCCTTGTGATCCAAGGTTCGCCGTTGTTTGAGTCCCTGCTTAGGGAACCTGTGAGGGAACCACCCCCTTTTTTGTTGGCTCAAAAAACTGGCATTTTTTTCAACACATGGGGGGCCCAAAGCATAAGTGGGGGAACAGAAGGGTATCCTCAAAACCCACACCGGGCCCCAGGTGACAAAGGGAGAGAACCCAAATCGGGTGTCCCCCAACACACGAGTCGACTTCGATCTGATCCGCGCCTGGACCGGTGGGTCTGCCCTCCGCAGGTGGCGGAGCAATGGCTCCAGTCGTCCCTCGGGTGCATCATACTGCTGGTTGCAAAATCCGCTTCTTGCACCACGTTGAAGCCATGGTTACGACCACTGTTTGTTGGTATTCACAAGGGAATCATCATTCTTAGGTGGTTCAGATTTCGTCCGTCCACAGTAGGGCTCCTTGAAGAATACACCGAAGAACCACCTGCTGTGTGACGGAATCCTCACGAGGCACAAGCGATGTGTGTGACCGAACCAAACGTATCAGGAACTGTAAAAACCCGGTAATTCCCTATGGGTGCTTAAGACTAGCTGTAAAGTGGTTTGGATTGGGCCGAATGTATCGGGCCTTTAGAAACCGGCAACTCCTGGTGGGCTTTTAAGACTAAAGTGGAATACCCGAATGCGAATGCGGGAGACCGTTCTAAACATTCAGGAGATCCACTTCAGGGGGTTTCTCTGACTTCAGGGGGTCCTCCAGATTCATCTGAGTCGATCGTCTCCATATCTTCCAACGGTTGCTTCCGATGTGTCCAACCCCTTTTTGGGCTAAAAACGATCAAATGCACAAGGAAACGGAATGGGTAGATAGAACTTGGACATCAGTCAAAATCGTGTGGTGATGGCTCGCATGCGCCGCAGCGTTTGACCGAGTTTGGTCGCCGATCCAGGACTTGATCCCGGATATGAAATGTCCCATGGCTGAGTTTAATGGCACCAGGAATGGGCAAAAACCCAGAATACTGGTTGGAAAGAAGCGGATTTCGTCCATATGCCAAAACCCAGGGCTGACCGCCCGAAAGCAGCGTGACTTGCCCAAAACCCGAGCTGACTTTCAGCTCCAACATGGTTCAAAGGTGTAAGGATTTACTATAAACCCCAACTAAGCAAGGAAGTGCAACCATCTCACATCTGGCCAGAAACAAAAAGGACCCCATTTTGCCATCTTAGGACATGGACCCCCCAAAAAAAAAGAACTATTCTTGAGAAGCCTCGCCATGTTAAAAAAAAGGCATCCCCTTCCAGGACTCGGTCCAAACCGACAGACGCGGCAAGCTGACGCCAGCGAGAGCCGAGGTGATGGCCAGTTGCCAAAGCGGCAGGGCGGCTTGGGCTTGTCATCCGGAGGCTCCGGGCAGCCAGCCTCAAGTCATGCGGCGGTACCTCTTCTTTTTCGGGGGGAAGCCAACCAAAAAAAGGGAGCAACCAGTCTTTGGGGGAATCTTCGACAAAAAGGGAAGCCGAGAGAAAACCCATGTTTGAAAGACGCCCTTTGATACTTCAGCGTCGATGCTTTCGGTTGCCCATCAACCCTCAGGGGACCAAACCCCAGTTCCCATCAATCCAACTACGAGTAACCTGATCAGATGGGTGCTTCCAAAATAGGAATTGGCCCCCCTACACTGGTTGGTTTCCGCTTCGCGACCCAAAAGGGGTCCACCATTTTGAGCTCCGATGGTTCCAACTCCAAAACAGGCCACACCCATTTGGCTGCTTCAAGGGAAAACATGTGTCGCAATCAGCTGGCAATACAATGGTCTGCCCAAAACCCAAAGCAAAGAATCAAAAAGGATCTGGAAAGCCAAGCCGCAGTCTGGTTCAGGCTCACGTCACAAGCTTTGCCGCCATTCATCTCTGTCTGCAACACATCTCGGAATCGGAACTTCTGGTAGGGACTCGCGCGACTACACCTCGGGCCAATGTTCACCAATGAGCTTTCATGAGTTGTCTCTGGCTTTTTAGGATTTGGACCCCCTTTCAAACAAGTCTTAGGATTTCCTTTTGGATTCCCTTTCAAACCAACCAAAAGAGGGTTCCCCCCAAAGGACACATGAGGTGGCAAAGTGGCAATCTTGGCTTTGCGACAAGTCCAACTTTGAAGATACGGCGGATGCCCCCAAATATTGCAAGGAAACAAGGGGAACCCTGCAAATTCCCATGACCGAGCTAGATAGCCAAGTCCCGGCCTTTCTTTTCTTCCAGACATGTTTGCCCTTAAAGTCAAACTTGGGGTACACATCCGCAATATGTGGCGCGTCCGTAGCTCTAAGCCTCTGAGCTTGAGGCCCTTCCCAATTGCTCCAGTCCGAGAGTACGCAAGGCACTGGATCCTCGCAGGCGTGCTCATTGCATGGCTGCCTCGGTGCGGCAGCACCTACGTCAAAGCACCCCAGTGAATCTGTGAATAAGTGGCCGTGGGTCAAGAATCGTGTAAACCCCCAACATGGGTTGCGCGGCAAGTGGAACCAAGGACTAAAACCTGCGGTCCAATTCCTGGTTGTTTCGTTTTGACCCATAACCCAAGTGTGCCAACCTGGGTGCTTGCGAGATTTAGAAAAAAAGCCATCTTCCCGAACCACAGTTTGCGAAGCAAACAGGAACAATTTGCCGAAGTTTTCTTCAGTGCCACGGCGCTCCTTGCCGCTAGGGGTGTGCGTGGGAAGGTACTTGGACGAGAGCAAATGGGCGTTGCTTACTCGCAGAACCCGGTAGGGGGAGAAGGGGGGGACAAAAACAGAGCGTGGTGGTCTTGTTGGTTTCCAAAAAAACGAGCCACGCCCATAGTATGTCATTGGTCCTGGCTCATTCTCTAGGAGTGCATTCGGACGCAGGGCGCGTGTGAGGATCCCCGGGGGCCGGGCGTCTGTCGGATCACCAAGCCCTGATCGTAGACCTCGACCTGAGTCGAAAATATCTGAGCTAATGCAGAGCTACTGGGAACCCAGGATTCATAAACTCCTACTTGGGGGGCGCGTTGTCAAGTTAGGAAGTCGTTGGTAACCGTTCGGTTCTAACCCACTTATAAGTCCTCGTTCAGTGAGGCTTCCTTTGTTATCAGGGTATAAATACCCCAATTGGCCAACCACCTGCTAACTTGGCCGAACATCCACTTAGTTGATTAAGAAGCGGGGTGCAAATCAGTTAGGCTAGAATCCTGGGCGTTCGGGGAAAACACACAGTCCATTCTTCCACCACGTTCCAGCAGGTTCTTTCAACAATCACGCCCGCTTATCTTTGAGGGGACTCTCTTTTTGGTGGGGTGTCGGCGCTTCCATCTGTCCTGAGCACTTCCTTGGGAAGCCCCGCCGGCGCACAGGGCTTTCCGCCGAACATCGCCTCCTGGATGATGCGGCGCATGCGGGCCTGGCTTCGGCCGCTGCGATTTTTCGCACGAACGATGGTCGCAGGTTACAGCCCCTTTCGAATGATGGAAGTGGATGGAGAGGGTTTTTCCCCAAAGAAGGCAGTCACACCTTGTCAGCTTCCATGATATGGGTTGTCTCTTCTTTTGAGGGAGCCCCTTTTGGGTTGTTTTGAAGGGGAACCAAAACGAAAACCACCATTTTGTGGGTCCCTGCAAAAAAAAACAACCCCATATGGCGCACTCTCTTGACACTCGCCTGCCAGCCCATGTTGCAGCTCTTGCTGCAGGTTGTCCACCTGGCATCGAGCTACGTGACTCGGGTGCGTGTTTTTCAGCCTACCCCTTTTTTGGTCGGCGTCAAAGGGAAGCGGTCAATTTGAAGCCAAACAAAAAGCCGCCAACTTGGGTGGGTCCTCCTATTCTTGCCCCAAGGATCCATCACCTTCAACTCCACTCAGGTCCCGGCTCTTGCCATTCGGAGAGCTCGCAGTCAATGGCATGAGATGGCTGGCATGGCTCGGTCTCATTCCATGCTCCTGCAAGGTGTCAGCAGAGTCTGATTTAGCAGTTCGTACGGTAGCAAGCAAGCAAGCAAGCAAGCAAGCAAGCAAATAAACAAACCAACAAACAAGCATCAACAGCAAAGCAGCAGTGCTTCAAACAAGACTCGCAAGCTCCAAAGCGAGAATATCACCGCGGCAAACAAGAAGCATGTTCAAGCTGACCACCCTGCCTACACCTTTCAGCTATCTGGGTGTGGCTCAAAATAGGGGTCCGAAATGGGTTGCCCTGGGAAATGGAAAGGCAGACTACCTGCGGTAACCCCAGTTGAATTGTGAGCCACACCCAGGGGAAAACGCCACTCTCGGCCCGCAAGCGTCCTATGCACGGCAGCCCATCGCCCTTCGCGTCCACCAAGATCCTAGCCGCTTGCCCGGTGATGGCAAGCTGGTTCTGGCTTACAAAGGAGCCATGGGGCTCTTGCTCTTTTTGAGGGTACCCTTTTTGAGGTTGGCTCAACGGACAAGACAGAATTCCAAAAGGAAACCAATGTTGTTTTTGGTAAAAGGGGCTCTATTGGAAGTTGATCAAGAGGTCTTTTAAATCGGACGGCCATTTTAAATTGGCAAACCACTAACAAAAAATGATATGTCCCACATGGGAAAAGTGTCCCATAGTCAGTTGGGGAATTCATGGAAGTATTGATCAACCCCCAGTTCGCCGTGCAAACCTAGGGACCCGTCGTTTCAATCAACGCAGACCAGAGTGTCGGCTTTCGCGCGACGTCCTGCGTGATCGGTATCGTTGGGCAAGCTGGCACACAGAGCACCTGGCGTGTGCGAAGAAAAATACCCCTGCCAAATGAGCCCTTGACAAAATCCTGGGATTCCGTAGGAAACTTGGGGGCCCCTCCTGGTTTTTGTTGAAAATTTGGGCCCAAGTGAACACTAGACCACAAAAACTGTTGTCAGTCAAAAATCCCATGGTGCTTTGATTTTGACCCGTGCCCATATTGCAAGGTTCTGACTTGCAATATGGGCTTCCACCTCATGGCCAACCGATTTTGCAGGCCCAAACCCTAGCAATAATTGCCCCGCAAAGAAAGGAATAGTACCCCCTTTTTGAGACTCCTGCTCTTTGCACCCTTTCAGCAGACCCCACAACAACAACAAAAAACTGAGAGCGACCCCGTTCGGAGGCGCTCGGCCACCCCTTCCTTGACCCGTCCTGTCTCCCCTTCTCACCCCGTTTTGGAACTTTTGGAACGTCGAGCGGCTCGTCCATGTGGTCGCAGGAGCTCCAAGTCTCCCAGGCGCCCCAAATGCAGTCCTCGGCTTTCCACACATCGAAAACTCGGCTGCTTTCGCACCGTTGGATTGGTTTTCTGAGTGCGTGTTTTGGAGGGACCCCCTTTTTGGCCGTTTTACAGGGAAACCTTCAACCAGATTGGATGTTGCTCCATTTGCTTTTGGGGTCTTCAACCTCCCCCCGGGATGACTTCTATTTGCTTTTCCGCCCCCGGAAAGAATGCGAACATATGGCCAGTGATAGATTCCCTTAAAAACCAAGGGGAAAAAGATATTCTAAAGCAAATCTCGGTTGCTTTCAGCTGCCCTGCTATTTATTTAACTTTTGGTGGTTTAATGGAAAACCTATTCGTTGGCAAAAAGTTAAAAAGTCTTAATATCCAAGCAAGATGCACCAAAGTGAACGACTCCGTGGCTCGAGGCGCGGGGCTTCGAGAAAAGAACGGTCAGGGACCGTAGGTTGCAACCATGACTAGGGTGTCTGGGCTTGGTCCCCGTAGAAAATTCCGGGGTTCTAACCTTAGTAGGTTGCAACCATGGTTATAAGTGGGGTAGCTTAGTCGCCTTGCAACCAGGGCTATAACCTACTTTCTAAGTTGGTGGAACAGTCCCAGTTAGAAACCAGGGTAAGAACCTACTTCACGTTGGTGGAGCCAGGACAGAATCGCCAGACACCCGTTCCCATTTCTCCCGAGAAGAGCGAGGATAGCCCCAGCCATGGACGAAGATCCTGTTGAAACCCAGCGGTTGGGATTTGTGGCTCCCGTAGGACTTCAACCGTCCCAACTGCAGGATTTCGTCGAACAGGGGGAAACTCACGTGAGCAGGGCCCAAAAACCCCTGTTGGCTATTAGTGGATGAGCAGTGCCCCAAAAAGCTATTGGCTATGAGTGGGTGGTCCTGGTTTGACAGGGATAATAGTGGTCCCTGTATAAACCTTGATAAATTGATAACCATGTCAGAACAAAATGTCAGCAGGTTTGGTGCGCGCATGTTTGAACTGGCCGGATTTGTGGCACAGCCTTTGCTCACATGCTTACCGCGGAAAAATCCTTCTACTTGGTCAAAGAGCATGGCTATATGTCAGTCACTCCTCGTTGCATCAGATCAGTGCTCTCATCAGCTTCTGAAATGTGTCCAAGCTTCGGACACATCTCTCCAAAGGGCAGGTGTCCTTCACAAACAATACCTGGTACTAAATTGGGATCCCCTGAAAAAAAGACACACCAGAATCTTCAGATAGGCGCACCTTTCTACCCAAAATTATGTAAATCAAAATGTGGGTGTGCCTTTCTTTGAGGGACCCGTTCTTTGCTGTTTAAAAGGGAAACCAAAAGGAAAATCGCCATGTTGAGATCCCCTAAAAAAAGAAGACACACACCAATTATTCACATATGCGCACCTTTTGGCAAGGGGATGGCGAACATTTGGTCAAGGCGCCCGGTCTGTCTCCACACAGGAGGCGGGATAGCACAATGGGTCATCCAGTCTCACCTCGCGTCGAAAAACTAGAGCTGTCGTTTGGTGCCAACATCAAGGCTTATATGGGCTTGTTTCAAAATAGCGGGACCCCCCAATAAGGATGGTTTCCCTGGAACTCCCCCCTGGACCAACCCCAAACCGGGTTTGCATTCCATTCCTCAATAATATGAAGAACCCGCAAAAAATGTGTGCTTTTGGTTTCCCTGGACCATTCACAAAAAGCCCTCCCCAATTTCGGGAAACCCCCAAAATTGCCTTGCTACAACCCCACAAAGCCAGCCAAGCAGAACCACATACCGTGGCCAATCTGCACTTCAAGTCAGCATCGCACCACGCACCTCACCCGTGTAAGGACGACGCGACCGTCTCTCGGGTGTGTCCGCTGCAGGGGTTGCCGCACTCGTTGTTGTGCCCCGGATGCCTGCGATGAACATGCTGATCTGTTGGTTTCCCAAAAAAGCAACCAGAAAGGGGCACCCTCAAGGCAAAGACCAAACAATAACTCCCCCCCCCCCCCGCGCATTTGAGAACTGCTCCGCCCTCCGGAACTGCGAGCCGACCTTCAGGGCGTCCAACTCAACCTCTAGACTCTAGACGTCACCACGCAAACTCACCAATGACCGAAAGAGGTAATCCTTGGAAAACCACAGAGTCTTGACACAGGGGTGCCTTTGTGTCCAACCAAGCCTATAATCATCAAACCCAGAGGAAATCACTCACGAATCGAAGAGCGGCCTGTGCCGCTCGCACAGGCCAGAGCACCCACCCACGGGGGACCATTCCGACCACATGCTGAACCTCAGTCGCACCGAGGACCCTGGAACGAGCAGGGTTCAACTCCAAGCGCGAGGAGTTAAAAACCGGACCATCCCCCAAATGGCCAAATGGCTCTGAACCCTGATGCGCCGGAAACATGAAGTGAGCTGATTTGCCTGTGTTGGACCTTGATGTAATCGCGTTTCTGTTTTGCATTTGGTTTTTGTTGGTTCTGCCGGGCGCCACGCGTGCAGTCCAGAGGGTAGCACTCGTGGCACTCCGGCAAATCCGGACCTGAAGCGAAACTCCCTCCGCGCAGATTCTCTCCGCAGGACGTTTTTCTTGGAGTGGCGAAATGGATCTCTCGGTTTTGGTCAAATCCATTCCAAGGTCGGAATCCCAGCTGAGCCACCAGCACAACCTGACTGAAGGTTAGGGGACAATGCCAGCCATGGGGATATCGGATATCCGCCTTCTTGATTCTTTACATGGGCATGGGGCGAAATTAGTTCTCAGGTTTCCATTTCCAGGGCAACCCATTTTGGGGTTACCCGATTCTTGATCCACAGCCAAATGGGTCTGTCCGGTTTGGAGTTGGCACCCCCCCCCTTTTTGGTGGCCCAAAAGGAAACCAAGAGGAAACAAAACTTTATTTTGCGGGGGTGCAGCCTCAAAAAGAAGACACTACCAAATCGATTCGAACATCTTTTGGTGGAAACCAACTTAGATTTGGGTGACCCGTTGACTTTTGTGCTATGCTACACTTGAGAGATCTGATTCAATGAGGGCCAAAAGTATCCTGTGGGTAGGTCAGATTTCTGCAATTTCCCAATGCTACACACATGAGTGTCCTTTCGTTCCCCCGTGCAAGATGTGGGACATCCCAACATGTGCTGGAATTTGTCAATCCATTGTATTTATTTCGAGGCTACCTACCCCTAGCCCTGCAAACCAGGTCTTGGATCGCTTTCCTTCGTGCTCATCCAATCTCACCCCAAAATGAGGGGAGTCCTATTTTGGCTGGGCGTTGTTTGTTAGGCCAACACATGCAAATCCAACATAGTGATCGCTTTCCCCAACCAAACAAACCTTTGAAATGGAGGAGGTACTTGTGGTTGGTCACTGTTTGTTGCCTTGGCAAACACCTTTGTAAGGAGAGCTGACGCGCGTCTGCGTCTCTGTGCATGTGTGTGTGTGTGCTTTTGTTTGGCTTGATGTTGCTTGTACCCTTTTGGAGCTTGATCAGGGAACCACGCACTTTGGGTTCAAGACAAACGGCATCTCGCCATAACGGCCGAGCCACACTTGCGCCATGACCGCTCAATACCATTGCAGGACCTCGGACGAGCAAAGCTGCGTTTGCCCCCTCACAGAGTGGTGGGACCATGGCCGCTTCGTGCGAAGTAGCCCCACAGGCGAATACCGGGTCCCAGCTTCAAGAAAAAAAGAGGAGAGCAACCAGGGCCACGTACCTTCATCTGAAACTGTGATTGGCCAGCAGGCACTCAGGAAGCGTCACCTTGCAAGTGGTTTGATTTGCTCAATGAACGGTGGGCTTGCCCCCCAAAAAAAAGAAAAGGCGAAAAACTGGGGTTTCCCTCTTCCCTTTAAACCAACAAACAAAGCAGCGGGGCACCTCAACTTGGTGTTCTCCAGGGATCCGGCTGAACCACCGGGTAGTGGACTGATCCGGGCCTAAGGCGGAAGGCGGAAGGCGGAGGGAGGTATCACAAGTTGGAACCCTCCCGCAAAAAAATGGTCAGCCGGGCGTCTTTTTCCAGGGAACCTATTGTTTTTGTTTGTGTTTGATGGTTTTTTCTTGTTTGGCCTTGGGAGGGGAGGGGGGGTTCAAAGGGAAACCAAAAGCCATTTTGAGGGTCCCCTAAAGAAAGACACAGCCATTTAGTTCAGATAAACTTGGAACCAAACAAACACACACCAATTTGGAGGAGGCTTCTTTTTGGGAAGCCCCAACACTGGGGCAGGGGCAGGGGGGGGAGCCCTAGGTGAAAACACATGCAGCAAATCTTTAAACTCACGTTTGGAAACCACCCCAAAACTAAAACAAGACACCTCCTATTTGCTGCACGGCCACGTCACATCGCAGCACTCACTGACGTCGCACACCTCGGGAGCCGATGCAATGTGAGTCACCATGTAAAGAGTTACTAACCAAGGCGGCTGGGCCCATTTCTGGTTGGGACTGTACACGGGTTTTGATTGTGGCTCATGCGCGTTTTGCCAAAGACCCGGACGTTCAGGGTCCCCCAAATTCCCCTCTACATCACCCCACCAAGAGGAAGGATGATGGTTTCTATTCTTGGGAGGATACCTTCTAAAACATATTGCTCTTTTCAACAAATCCCCGTTTGAGCATCCAACCCTCGGTTCCACCACTCTGCTCCAAGCCACCCTTATCGCCAATCTGTGCCTATCGGCCCCAAAACGCATTCAGCCGGGGAAGCCAACGCTGAAAGTTCTCCAAAGGAAACTGCAATCTTGGGGTCAATCCCATCCTTGAGGACCCCCATCCTTTCTTCCTTGGGGTCAGAAACAAGAAGGGGGGAACCCATCCCATCCCATCCCTTCCCATCCGACTCCTCCGACTTTTCGCCACCCCACTCGCAATTTCCAGACCCAAGCCTCGGCCACGCACTTCATGCCCTCGGCGCCGGCTCTCAAGTCGAAGCCTCGCGCGGCGCTTGCGCAAGCGCGCCATCCGGTGGAGTGGTGTACTGGGAGTCCACAGGCAGATGGGTCTGTCGCGCGTTCTGCGGCGGAGTGGTGTACACGGGGTCCACAGGTCTATCTGTCTGCGGTTGTTTTGAGGCTACCCCCCTTTCCTAACTTGGACTAAACGCAAACCAAACAAAACCACCGATGTGTTTTTTGTTGTTTTGTGTGTGTTGTTTTTCCCCCGACGGGGGGGGTCAAAAAAAAGGGCACACCCACAAAAGTGTCAGTTTCTTTGGAGCCGGGCGGTTTGGAGTTGTGCAGGCTGGTTGTTTCCCATGTACCTTCTACAAGGACCAGGAAATGCTTCAAATGGCTGCAGAATGGGGTGTCAAAATCGGGATCCCGCGGTCCAGAAATGGTGGTGTCCCGTTTGGCTTCCCTTCAAGCCACCCTAAAAAAGGGTACCTTTACAAACCAAACATGCCACAGTACATTTCACGATCAATCCTTCCCCACATTCAGCGCCTTCTCCGCACACGTCGGCACCGCAAACTGCTGATGGGATGCCCATGGTGTTGCAGAACCTTTCGGCGGAGAGAAGGAATCCCAAATCCCAGGCGTTTCGCAACTTTGGTAGGTAACCAACAGTTTGCCTTTGGGCTTTTAAGTTTAAAGGGTGGTTCCCTCCTTTCAAGGAAAATGGAATCACTGGGAATGTTAAGCTCGGATTAATCCGGAGGACTCTACTAGTCAGAAGTAGTTCACATCCTGAAGGGGCTTGCCACCCCTGACCAGTATGGTCCGCAGCAGAATGGGGGAAGTCTGGTAAACCCCAACCAGCAGGTTTAACCCCAACCCGCAGGTTCAACCCCACCGGGATGTGTCAGGACCCCCCCGCGCGCCCCAGCAGGATGGTGGCCTCCCTGTAGCTTCCCTTCAAAGCCACCCCAAAAAGCTAGCCTCAAAACTGAGAGCCCCATTTATCACCCACCATAGGAGAACAAGCCCGGCAGGGGCATGTTCACGAGCACACACACACACACTTATCTCGAGAGGCTTCACTTTCCGAGATGAAAAACGCAGTCGGTAAAAATGCTTGAATGCAAATGCAAATCAACAGGTCACAACATCGACACCGAACAGGAAGCAACAGCGACAAACAGAAACCGCAAAAGGAATTTCTCATCACTGCAGGTACGTGGATTCTGCGTCCAGAATCCATATCAGCACTGATGGAAGCCTCTTCGTTGGGCCGTCACTTCCATGCAGTGGACAACCCCCCTGCTGCTTAAAGTTTTTGCGTCCGTGCTCCAGGACGGTTCACACACACAAGGCCCCGAGTGGGGCGAGCTAACAAAAAAAGACAACTGCGGCATGGGCAGGCACGATGTAGCAACTGATTCACACATGACCCGTGCCTCAAAAAAGCTGCCTTGTCGGTCCAACTCATGTCAATGCAGGTGTCGCTTGAACGTGAAAGTGAATTGAACTGATCAGAGTCAGTGCAGAGCATAAACCGATGAACTGCAAAGTCGGTGTTTGACCGACCTGTCCCTTGCACATGCGGCAGCCTAGCCGAAACCTCATGGTTGCTGCCTTGCTCAAGGTGCAGGCAATGCTACAGGTGCAACAAGCAATGCGAATGGCAGTACCTCACCTGCAAAAATGCTGCCTTGACCATGGTCAATCGCGCTGAACTGCGGCTTGAATTTGAACGAATGAAAGGTCTTCCCCTCGCAGGGGTGCTCCCGCATGTGGCGAGTCCAGCCCACAGCGCCATGTCGGACAGGCCGTGGGTAAACACGCTTATCTCGAGAGGCTTCACTAGCCGAGATGAAAAACGCAGTCAGTAAAAATGCTTGAATGCAAATGCAAATCAACAGGTCACAACATCGACACCGAACAGGAAGCAACAGCGACAAACAGAAACCGCAAAAGGAATTTCTCATCACTGCAGGTACGTGGATTCTGCGTCCAGAATCCATATCAGCACTGATGGAAGCCTCTTCGTTGGGCCGTCACTTCCATGCAGTGGACAACCCCCCTGCTGCTTAAAGTTTTGCGTCCGTGCTCCAGGACGGTTCACACACACACACACGAGATGCATTGAAAAGGACAAATCGCAGCGGCACTCCCAGGTCTTTGGCACTTGGGCTCCATCATCCAACACAGCTCTCTCTCTCTCTCTCTCTCTCTCTCTCTCGCAGCCGAGTGGCGGACAAAGTCAAGTCTGCCAAGCTGAGCGCTCTGAACACAACTAAAGGCCCCTTGCCATCAGTCCATCCAACGCAACAATACACTGCACAAACTGCCTTAGCATGAAGCCAATTGCTCGGGCCCCCGCGACGCCGAGAAGTAGAAGATGTGGCTATAACCGCGGACCTGCCGCTCGCTTCACATGTTGGGCAATTCAACGACTTGTTCAAAGCACGGTCCCAACCAAGACGGTCGCGTCCTCTTTTTTGGGATTTGGACCCCCAGATGGCGCAAAGGTGTTCCTCTTGGTGGCCCTTCAAACCAGAAAAAAGGGGGCACCAACTCCAAAAGGACGAGCCACCCATACGGCTTCCCTTCGCAATGAGTCTGGTTGCTTCTCAAGGGTGGCAATTCACAAATTTGCAGCTTTTTCGCAGCTGGCGTTTGGTTCTGCATGGTGAAACAGCAGCTTTCGTTCGACCTTTGCTCGAAGCACCTACTGAAATGCAAGTTGGATTTCGGGTTCTGGGCTACCAACATCTGGGGATGTCTTTTGTGGAGTTGGCACGTTTTTGGGGCATGTCAGTTTTTCTGGCCCCCCCAAAAAAAATTAAAAAAAAAAAGGAAGAAAGAAAACAGAAAAGGATTTGAGGTCTAAATCCAAAAGGGAGGAGGCACTCAGTGTTGGAGCTCCAGGTGTCCTGTTCTCAGCCCGGGGCCCCGGGGGCCGACAGCTTCACATTGATCTCTGAGACCTGGCGCGAGGCGTTTTTTTCGGCTTCCTGCTATCAGGGGCTGCCTGGATTTCTCCAAATCAAAAGTTGATCCGTTTGGAGCCGAATCCGTGGTTTGGCGGTTGGCTAGCTTCCCATTTACGGTAGCTTCCCATTTACCTACAAGAACCAGAGGTTCGAATCCGCCACCAATCCAAACCACCTAGGGGTACGTGATCTGTTTGGTTCGGGCCGTTCGTTCTGCAAAATTTCACCCCTTCTTTTTTGGGAGGGACCCCCAACCAATGATGTTTTGGACCCCCAACCAGTTTCTGTCGACGCCCGGCCCGATCCTTTTCTGGACCCAACTCATCGTTTTGGGCCTCCAAGCCAAGGCAGAGAGCCAACAAAAAACAGGCGGGGTCGGAAAAACAAACGGTTCCCTTGGTGACCAAACACTGGCAAATGGGTGGGTGTGTCGTTGCTTGAGGGTACCCCAAAATGGCTTCGATTTTCCTTTGGGCTTCTTGTTGGGGGTTCCCCAAAAAAGACGAGTTCCCTTGGACAATTACTCAGAGAACTTGCTCAAATAAACTTGCTCAGAGAACTTGCCCAAAAACGATTGCTCAGAGAATACGGATCCAAATGTTTATCCAGGTGTTTCTTTATATTTTGGACGCCATACATGGTGTGCCGTTTGCTGGGTTGCTCTTCCCGATGTAAAGGTCGCGACCCAAAAGGTCTCGGATTCGGTCACAAAGAGATAGCCAAGCCACCCAGAAATCAATCGGCTTTCTAGAAACCGGGGGACTGAAAACTGGGCTGTCCTCAGATCCTCCGTGGCTCAGATGGGAAACCCACCCACTAAACCCACCAAGACTCTCAGAAAAACAACGATGTTGAGCCGGACGATTCGCTGTGAACCGCCAACTCAATAGCCACCAACTCCGAAACGGACGCCACGCTGAAACGGACACGCCGAACACCGCGCCTCCGTAAAGAAGAAGGTGAGCTCACAGTCCCCGCTGGTCAGCGAGCTGTCGCCTGGAGATTTTTCGAGCCAAAAGGGCCGGTTTTCGGCCTGAAAAGCGCCTCAAAAGACACGAACACTTGAGTTGAATGGTGTGGATTCGATGACACGGGTGCCATATAGGGATAAAAATCCACACCTGGTTCATCCCAGTGTGTATAAAGTCGCTGTGGACGCTTAGCAATCTCACACAAGTTATGGCGTGTCAAGTGCCCCAACAAGCTCCTCGGACAAGTCAAACCTCAACTTTGGTGTTGGGTTTACCAAAGTGAAAGTCCAATTGGTACGGGCTGGTTCAAACCCTTGCGTTTTCTCGTGGGGGTTGAATTTACCGGAAATCCCACCTTTTGAGTGTTCACGTGAGACACACCAAGGTTGCTTTTTGGGGAGTTGACGTAAATCGCCCATTTCGAGGCTTCACCTCTTCAACAGTTGAGGTAGAATTCCTCTAGGCAGTATCTGCCGGGCAACTTCATTTTGCCTGGTGTCGGTGCGTTTTGTCGGCTTGACTTTTGTCAGCCCGAGACGGCCGCTTCGTTGGAAATCACTTCGCACTGAGTGCCCCCATGTCTTCCCACAGTACCACGTGTCCTAGAGAAATGTGTCCTTAAAGCTGAAAACTTGCAGTCATGCGGATAGCTCCAGATAGCTCCGGAGTCGGGGTCGAACTGTGGAAGTGCTCCGCAAACTCACTCGCGTGGCAATTTCCACGCGCGAACACGTTTCGTCCAGTTCACGCAGGCGTGAAGTGCACTACTCGTTTCTCCGCCCGCATCTCCCGAAGGGCGATCAGCCCACGAATAAAGGGCCTTGGGGTTGTCCTGATTTGGGCTCCAGAATCACTGTTTGCCCAGATGCATAATAGCATTTGAAAGAGAGTGAAGAGAAACTGTGATTGGAAACTTGCAACAACTGTTTCTCGCCCAGATGCATTATAGCAACAACAAAACGGTGCGAGAAACTTCCATTGGTGCGCTATCTCACTGCATCTCCTTGGGAGTGCAGGGACTAATTCCACCACAGCTGCGAGGTGTCACCTGAGTCAAAGTGTGGGCAAGAGAGTGACCACATAACTTGGCTGGAATTAGGATCCCAGCAAAAAAATACATTTCTTGCCTGGTTCGTGGAAAACAAAGGGAGCCCCAAAAAAAGCAACAAATCGAAAAGGGGAGCTAATTCTGGGGAAGATTTAAACCAAAAAAAAAAACGCGACCGCGGATGGACAAAATCCACTTCGATTGGTGGTTGATCCCAGTATTCATGGGGCGTCATCCATCCCAACTGCCTGGATTTCGCGGATTCTGTCCATCCACTTGCACCGTCCAAGCTGCATGCGATGTAGCTCACCTCGGATCGGCATCCAACTCTGAAGGGTGCAAGAAACGTGTGAACATAGGGCTGTATATGGGCCAAATCAGGCGCTTGGCCTTTTGGGCCCGGTCTTGGCCTTCCTGTTGGTTTCCCATTGAGCCGACCTGAAAAGGGTACCTGTTGCCCCAAAAAAGCGGCCACGCCCACTGTAAAAAAACCCACCCAGCGCACCACCTTGTTGTTGGACACCCAAATGCTTTGGATGTTACGCCCTTTTCGCACAGGTTTCCGTTGATGTGTTACACGGGTTTCCGTGAAAAATCGCCTCCTAAAACATCGGCTCCTACAAAGTCGGCGTTTCCTTCGGCTTTTCCCTCGGCTTTTTTCAAGGGGCGGGGCTGAGGCTGGAGGACAGCTTCGCCTCGAAGCCCGCGATGCACGCCTCGTCCGCGCAGCGCAGGCAGTGCCACTCCCGGTCCCGGAAGTACGGGAAGTTCCAGGCCTCGTCTTTGCACCCCCAGGCCACTTGGGAGCGATAGCCCAGCGATATTTCATCACAACCTACACCCGTTTGAGAGGGCGTTCATTGGGTTTTTGTCAAAGCAAAAACGCACCCCTTAAGAGCTAGCATTGAGATGACATGTGAGCAAGGCCAGGGAGGTTGCAGGTTCAAGTCCTGCTAGCCTCATGGAAATAACATTTGTGCCTAAGATACGGGTGAAACGCTTCGCGTCGGTTTCCGTGGGTTTTTGGCTCCCATCGCCAAGCTGGGGGAAGAGAAAAAAGCATGGAAACGTGTCGGTTTCTGATTCCTGCGGGTTTTCGGCTCCCATCGCCCAGCTTGGGAAAAAAGCGATTCGCAACTGGGCGACCCAGGTGGGGTGGAAAGGGAAACCAGAAAGAAAAGGAAAAAGCATGGTGCCCTAAAATTCGCCAAGACGACATCGGAACATGCGGGGCCGGTCCGTGGTCTACGAAACGGTCCGACCTATGAACCAATTGGATCCCTTTGTCCAATTGTTTGCCCAGGGACCTCCAAACCCACCACAGAGGGGAGAACAGAATCCAAACCAACCTGGATCGCCAGTTGGTTTGAAAGCTTTTTTCCAGCAACTCTGACTGTTTTTTGGGGTATTTGGTGGGCAAAAAGCGTTTTCGAGACTTGGCGATCCAAACCGCTAAACTGTGTGTTTTGATTGATATGAAGTATGGATTTCTGGTACCCTTTTCACCGTGGTTCACCGCCATCTCGCAACGCGAACCCGAGATGGACATGGCACGACCCGTAGCTGTACCTGCGTGTCCCTCCTCAGGGATCCTTCTCAAAAATCGGCCACGCCCGGCTGGAATTAGGACCCCAGCAAAAAAAGCATGTTTTTTTTGCCTGCTTAGTACAAAACAAAGGGAACCCCCCCCCCCCCACAAAAAAAAGGAAAACAAGAAAAGGGGGAGCTAATTCTGGGGAAGGCAAATATGGCGTTCCAAAGGGAACGGTGGGTGAAGAGACTGGGGCAAATGGGTGTGTGTTTTACGAGAAAAGCCTGGTTCACCTTGGTTTACAGGGAAACCAAAAGGAAGACTGCGTTTTCCCTTCGAGTCAAAATGAGCACCTGGTATTGAAATGGTTGTCCCGAGCCTTTATTTACCCGAATCGGTTTTGATTGCAGATGGGCCACAAATGATTTGAAACCTGGTCCCTGGTAAAGGGACACCAAGTAAAGCATCAGCGGGAATGCGTTGATTGATCACCCAGTCCAGGTGGAGAGATACCAAAAGAACCCTTGACCAATTGTCTACAGATCTGTGTTTGATCATACGGCTTTCACCCAAAAAGAGAAAAAGGAAGGTCATAGCCGAAACGCGGTTCCCATTTTTGTCTAGGAAGGGCTTACCCAAGTGTTTAGAAACTATCCTCTGCTGTTCTGTGACTTGTCTAGGTCCTCCAGCAGAGAGGATGGAATAAGGGTACCCTTTTTCTGCTATTTTAGTAGGGGAACCCTCCCCCGAAAAAGGCTGGGGAACCTAGTTGTTGTCCCAGAAAGCTTGCTGCCACACTGAGCAAGACCCGCGAGCTGCTGGCACCGCTGGGAGATCAACTCAATCCATGGAGGCCCCGATTGGTGCGATGGCATGGACGCTGGTCCCCTGAAAATGGCCGTTTGCGTTTTGGTGTCCCTTGAACTCCCTGCCAAGAGGGGGGTCTTGGTAGAATCCCATTTGAGACGCCCCTCACAGGGTTCCACTTTTTGACCACCCAGACTTAAACGCAGGGGTGGCCCATTTCCCCGAAACCGAAGGAGCCGCCCCTGGGTTTGAGTCTACCTTGGGGAGTCAACCAGTGGACCCCCTGGCTCTTTGGAAAAACGGGGCTTCGCACCCTCAGCCTCGGATCCCCGATTCGACTCGGGTCCGATGGATCGATTCGCCTGGCGGGCCCAGCACCATGGCACCATGCCATCCCACAGCGACCGGGGAGCCCATCTGCTGATCCTGCGGAAACGGGGCGGTTCCTTACGGCTCGGTCGTGAAAAACCGGTGGCCTTGATTTAGGTTATTTTTGCGGCTTTTTGTTGTGAGAATATGTGTGGCTGCTCGTCTTTGGGAGTTGCCACGTCCTCCTGGTTGGTAGAGGCAGACCCAGATCCATGTCAGGGGGTCCAAATCCGAAAACAAATTCCAGCAAGCTCAGGAGCTCTCAACCCCCGAAACAAAAGGTGGCCAGGGGGGTAGGTGGCCTATCCCTATCCATTGATCAGACGCCATACCTCTTGGAGGCATGGCACGCGGTTTGGGTTTTGGCTGGGTTTTTTGCCTTTGGAAAACAAATGGGAAGGACCCTGGGATGCTTCTGGGCAAGTGATCTCATGAGCTGCTCTCAAAATGGGGTGGTTTCCCATTGTCTTCCTGAGGAGTTAAAACAAAAACGCATCCACATGATGTAATCTGTTTGGCACTGTGGATGCACGAAATCCAGGCCACACACGAGTTGGGATGGATGACACCTGGATGAAACCCCTTGAATGCTGGACAAGCGCGGAAATCCACCAACCAACTAGTTGGCGATTTATCCCGTTAGAGTTTCTTTCATCCATTCCAACTGTTGCTCGGCGACAATAGTGTTCATCCACCGTATTGTTCTAGCCATACCCTCTTGGGTGTTCAACCAACTTAGTAAGTAGATGCAACCATTGATTAACTGGGGTATCTGGGGTTAGTCCCCTTACAACCAAGTTTATAACCTACTTACTAAGTTGGTCGAACACTCCCCAATCTCTTCACGGATCTTTGTCTGAACTGAAGAGAATGATGAGTGAACAGAAGGCGGCAAATCAACCCAATCTGAATCATGTCGGGGTGGCCCAATTGTGCGGATGGCCGACCAAGGGGCAGCTAAAAGGAAACCAGTGCCTCAAAGATTGGGAGAAAAAGCATCCCCTTTCAACTGTCAAAAAACCTCGGATGGTTCAACAACCCTTGAAAAAACGTAACTGTAAGGAGCCATCAGGGCATGGGTCAAAATGAAACCACCACGGGACTGGTTTTAGTCCTTGGTTCCACAGGGTTCCATGTTGGATACCTATTTTTGACCCAAGGCCATCAATAGAGTCTAGGTGTTCCAACGTAACCTCTCTCATGGCTGGTGTCCCTAACGCTTGCCAAGGGACATCCACCAAAGCAACAGGCTGGCTTTAAAGGGAACCCAACAGGAAAGCCGAAGCCATTTGGGCGCGCGTTCAAATCCGTTTCAACCACACACAAAAGGGGGGTAAGCCAACTCTAACAAAAAGACAAAGTGAATTGGGCTTGATTTTTGTTTTAGGCCCAACATCCTTTGAAATCTGGGTACCAAGCCAACTCAAAAAGACGAGACGTTGTTGAGCGGAACGCACAAACCCCAACGCCCCGGGCGACGCGCAACCCCCAACGAAGGGTCCAGAAGATGCAGCAGCCCAATGCGCCCGCGCCCACCGCCAGAGCCACGGCCTAGCGCTCGCGCGCGTGGCGGACCACTTTTTGGGGGTCGCACCGGGGCCTTGAAATGAGGGGTTAAAAGACAGAACAAAAAATCGGAAAAGGCGGGAAAAAGGGAAGCCCAGATATTTTTCGGTCCGCATCTTGGTACCTTGCACCCTTTTGGTACCCAACACCCTATGAAATGAGGCTTCTACAGAAAGGAGGGCCGATTCAACCCCTCCAAAGGGTCTAACGATGCTTGAGGTGAAGCTTTTGAGGTGCTTTTTCTTGTGTAGAAAGTGCTGCTACAAGGCCGCTTCGCTTTTTTGGACACCAGCTGAAACTGGCCATTTGGATACGCCTTCTTAATTGGAGACCCTTCGGTGGACATCACATGGGGGTTGAGGTCCATCAACTATTGAGCGGTTCCCCATTGAAATTCACGGCCACAAGTATGTCAAATCACACAGGATTGAGGCGAACCCAGTTCCGAATGGCAACTTGCCAGGTCTGACCACGACACTACACACCAAGGGTAGAAAGGGGTGCTCTCACAAAAAACACCCCAAAAAGCCGGGAGGGCCTTTTGCCTTCCCTTTAAATACCCCCCCAAAATGCGGGAACCCCCCCACCCCCCGGCTTTCGCCACACGCCTTGAGCACTTTCTCGGCCTTTGTGACCTTCACGTTCCGCACAAAGTGCACGCCGAAGATCAGACCTGACGGTAGCTTTCAACGGGCTGGGTTACAGGGAATTCCACGGGAAAACAGCTTATTTACGGTGTTTTGGGGCCATTTCCTGTAGAATGTCCTGTAGCCAGATGCTCGGGTGTTGGCTAATGGCGCACAAGGTGCTATTTCCACTTAGGGGCTCAAAAGTGGGTCATAACTAATTGACCTGGGTTACCAACAACTTACTAACTTGGCTGAACTTTCAAACGAATTTGGCCCGGCTTGCTACAAAACGTGAGCGCTGTCCACCCTCTTTCAAGGTTCCTCTTTCAGGGTTCCTCTTTGTGGGCATGTCTCGAAATAGGGATTTGGACCCTGCAGATGCTAGTCTTGCTTTTGGTGTCCCTCTAAACCAACCATAAAGCGGGAACTCTCAAAAAGACACGCGCACACAAATGAAGGTTCTCAAATGGTGAACCCTCTTGTGGTTTGAAGGGAAACCAAAGGAAATGATCAAAAAATCGGAGATCCCCTAAGTCCCCCGCCTTTCCATTTGAAAACAACTAATCTAAAGGGGGGACCAACTCGAAAAGCACATGCCCAAGTCGCCCCAAAAAATATGGCCCGTCCAAACCTCGGGATTTTCTCAACGTGGCCCCCGAACCTGGCACGAGTTCCTTTGGAGCCCCCTAAACTGGCGCGAGTGTCCTGCGGGCTTCCCCCCCAAAAAAAAAACACACACCGCGCGCGCAGGGCACGGAACCCTCGTCAAGCCCCGAAACCAGCCGTGCCTGCCACGTAGCCCCCGAAGTGCGCGGCGTGGCCTGTGACGTCGTCGGGCTTCGAGAGCAGGCCCGCGCCCACGTCTAGGCCCAACCTCGGAGGCGTCTTGCGGTGGGATGGGGGTCTCAATGGAAGGAGACGGAGGAGACGGATCCCCGTTGCCCGAAACTGGAAAGAGTCGGGTGGTGCAACATCGCATTTTTTTCTAACCGGGAATGCGAACGAAGTTTGTCGCGAGTCAGGACTTGTTCCGTGACTGGGCCCACCGCTCTTTCACGCGCCAGACCAAAAATATAAAGCTGCGCAAGGATGTTGCAGGCTGGCAACCGCCCACCAAGGGTGAACGTAACAGCTTCCGTAATTTGAGGGTTGGAAAACGACATCAGTTTTCGAGTCGCAAGAACGGCTGCTTGCTTGACAGCTGGCGGAGCCATCTTCTCCGTTCTTTATTCACAAACATCCGCCCGCTACCTGTTTTTTGGGCTGCTCTACCTTGGCCTTTCTGTTCACAAAGTGTTTCCCGCAAAAGACACCCAGTCAACTATGTGTGCGTGTGCTTCTTTTGGGAGAGCCCACTAAAAATTGGTGGCTTCGTCCCAATGGAAGCTGGAGAGGAAATGATTCCCTTTGGGCCCTTTGGGGGGTCCGCGAAACTGGAAAAAGAATCGGGTCCTGTTGGTGGCAAGGAAACTTTGTTCAACTTTCCGCTGCAAGAAACCAAGGAGAACTGGAAATCGGACCCGCTGGGTGTTGAAGGACATGTTGTTCCCAAGTTGCCGTTGGAAGAAGCCAGCGAAAAGGGGAGTTGTACACATCAACTTGTAGGGTTTGTGTAGCCGGGTGCGAGTTGCGCCTATGGGCAAAAGAACTCTACGGGGAACCGGGAATGGTTGGCTTGTCAGTGAAACACTTCCCGAGGTCAGCTTCCCAGGTGCGACTCTTCCAACCCATTTGGGCCTGCCTTTTGGGCGGCAGGGGAAAACCGAAAGGACAACCATCATTTTGTTGATCTTAACAAAGACACACCCATACGGTTTGCTACTAAGGGAGCCCTTCTTACTTTTCAGCTTCCCTCTCGTTGGGCATGACTCAAAGCAGGGAGAACCCTATTTCTGGATTTCGGCTTGCCTGGCTTCCATTTGAATCTGGAAACTCAGCTTCCCTCTCATTCGTACTTTGGATAGGCGAATTCAACAATTACCCTCTGAAACTGCCAGGGGCTCAAATCCCCAAGCCAATCCAAATCGCCAATGAAGGATAACCTGAGGCTTGGTGGGGCCCAAATAATAGCGCCGGCTAATTTGCTAAAAGTTATCCTCCTGCAACAACTCGGACTAAAATCTCACTAATTTCCTTAATCATTCAAAAACAACATGTGTAAGGTAACTGTGCATTTGCCATTCCATGGTATACTAAGCTGATGAAGACCTGATTTCTGAATCTTCAATGCAAGTGAAGCCATCCTCACAGTCAGGACATGTCGGGACACACACCCCTCTCCCCCCGCCACTTTTGAGGACCCCTATTCAAGTTCATGGCCTTTGCGTGTTTGATGCACGAACGAAGCTTCCCATGTCGCCGAATGAACAATTTGGCAAAACAGGATCACGGTCAAAACAATGCAGGCTCCCCCTGGTCTTGTGGAATTGTTCGTACCCCATCCCTTCCACATGTATCAAAATGCGGAGGAGCGCAAAAAATGGTGTGGGGTTTGTGTTTGGTGTTCCTTCAAGCCAACGTGAAACCGGTACGGAGCATCCAACAAAACACACACCCACATGGACCATTGGCGCTAGGTGGAAGAAAATGACAATGACCCCGCCCCATTCCCCCTTGCCTCCCAAATAGAGTTGTGACATCTACTTTCACCCTGCCGAACCCGTTGACCGAATCCCTCGGGCTCGTGGAAAATGCAAAAATTCGCGTCGGGGCACAGCAGGAGCAGCAGGAAAACCCTGGGCAATCGCCAGCGGTGCTGCCTCCAGTTCATGATGACGTCAGCCATGTGCATCGCCTCGGCGAGAGAAAAATGCACTCCATCGTCGAAAAAGGGGAGCGTCTCGCATTGTCTGGACGTTGGCTTGTTCCCCTCAAAAGGGAAACCAAAGGGGAAACCACAATTTTGGGCTGTCCAACCTCTAAAAAAGACATGCAATTGGTGGTTTGGAGTGCGGTGGTTTCGATTCGTAGGCGGTTGGCGATAGAACCCGGGGTCCAAAGCCTCAAGCCAAGTAAGAGTAACCTGAAATGCAACTCAAAAAAAGGAATCGGTCCATTTCAAAAATGGTCATGGGTCGAAAATAGGTACCTGAAATGGCCCTGGCGGTTCAATTTTGACCCCCAGCCAAATGGCAACCGCTTCCTTTTGACTTTGGCTTCCCTTTTAAAGACCGGGCGGGAACCCTCAACGGTTTCAAACAAGAGTCCGTTCCGATCGCTTGCACCAAAGGGCAGTGTGTTTCATCCGATTGCGAAACCCAGTTGGTTGAACCCCTTCAACTTCCGGTCACCCAAGGCTTGCCTTTTAAGGAACCATGGTTGGAAAAACCTGAAATCCGGGATGCCGAGGTACTTGATTCCTTTGACTGCTTGTCATTCAGGGAATGCCTCTGCCACTCACGGAAAGTGGCAACTTAAGCCAAGTTTGCAACAATGAAGACCACTGAGGGAAAAACGTGTCCTTGGTTCCTTTCAAACAATCCCCAAGATGTGGCGCTTTGGATTGCTGGTTTGGTGGTTCAGGTAGTTTCCCATTCTCCCTCTACAGGAACAAGGGGTTCAGATCCCCAAACCGCCAACCCAAGCCACGAACCAAGGGAGACCTGAAATACTTCACTGAGGTCCACTCAAACTCACCTACCCTAGTGGTTCTCCCCAACTTTCGTTTGAACAATTAGTAGCAGATGTTTTTTTTGCAACATCCTCGGGACCCCCGGACAGGAGGGAGTCCAGCAAGACGTGCTTTTGCATGATTGAAACCCCGATTTATCCATGCTTGAGTTTGAGTCCTTAAAGAAAAAGAACCTCATTGGATCTTCCCTCTTTGCCACGCTGCCATCAGCGCATAGCAGCCAGCAGACATGCCCACCAGCCCGGGATCGTGCGGCCTGGAAATACAACGAGACTTCAATAGAGGGCCTGGGAAAATGAGAGAGTCCCCTGGTTTTTGTGGGAGATTTAGACCCTGGTGCAACCGATTCCAATTTGGATGATGACACTCCTGAACGGTAAATCATTGTGGTTATATTAACCTCCTTTGTTTCGGGTAGATCTCGTCCGTGTGGTAAACCACGAAACTAAACCTCGATCTTCCAGAACCTTGGAAGCCGAATTTCCATTTCAAACCAAGATCAAGAAGGGCCCGGTCATGCTCACCATCCCGACCCATTTGAAGAGGCTCTTGGGGTAGATGCTATGGACACAATCCATACCGATCGGCACCAGTTAGGATTACATTTTTTTAAGTTTCCTCCCAACCAGTGCCAAGGGGATTTCGTGGACCCACCTGGGTCTGTCTGTTTTCGGGGACCCCCCAAGTGGTGGGGTGTCCTTTGGGTGTTCCTTAAAAACCAGAAAGGGCACCAACGTCCCAAAAAAGGACGAGCCCCACACGACCACCGCACCGCACCTCCAGGTCATGTGCCACACGGCTCCGCACATGATACTCGTCTCGAAGATCAGCAACGTGCGCCAGGGTCCGTGAAATCCTGCCCGAAGTGGACGTGTCCACTGCGCGCGAGACGGTTACTGGTGTCCTCATTGTGATTGTGAGTGGCCCCCAAAACGTTGACCTTGGTCCTGTGCTTAGTGAAGCGACAACTCGTAGCTTGAAGATTTCTCTGAATGGGGGACCGCGCAAATGCGTTGCTTCCTGGCGGTTTCCCAAACCAAAAAAAACCGACAAGGAGTCCCCATTTTGAGAAGCCTCCACTTGGTACCCTTCTCCCCTTGGTTAGAAGGTATACCGAAAGGAAACCAGCTTTTTGACGCAGAATTAAGCAGAATTGAGCAGAGCCCAGAACCCATCGACTTCGGTTTTCCAACAACATGGTTGTGGTTGTAAGCTTACTACCCACAAACGGAACCTACGAAGCTAAAATGTCCAACGGAAATTCGTTCCGGCCTGACTTGGAAACCCAGGATTCAGAACGAAAAAAACCGTTCACTCGAAGCAACAAATATGAGGTTGTTTCAAATGGGTGTTTCTCTTGTTAGGGAACCCCAAAATGTTGATGTTTCCTCCTGGCTTCCTTTTAAAGCCACCAAAACGGGGGGTTCCCCAAAAAACGACAACCCAAAGCAAACGATATGCACCGTTGTCCTTCCAGTGGGATCCCTGTGAAGATCGTCACCAGCGTGTTCATTGCGATGTGCGTGAAGTGTCCGTGCGTGAACTGATAAGTGAGCCTTAGAGCTTGCCCGAGTGATAGAAGCAAAGGAGCCTACCCCCAGAGGTGTACCTTGGTGTTGGTTTCCCTGGGAAGGCCACCAACTCCGAAAAAGACACAGCTCTGTGAAAATCAAGAAATGCCTCGGCCCCCAGGGCCGGGAAGCGGCCAGACCAGACCCGTCAGAACCTCTTTGGGATCTTCACAAAAAAACCGGTCGAATTGACACCCGTCAAACCCCCCTCAAACTTCAAGGCAAACTAAAGCACATATACCTCAAAGCCAAAAGCGGACTAGCCGAGGCGGGCAACGCTATGTGGCAACGCGAAGCGTTTACAATAAAAAGGGATCCCGAAAAGGTGGGATTCATGTGAGGCTTCCCTTTCAGACCGACAAGGGGGGGTACCCTCAAGAAAAAAAACCACAGCTAAAAACCAAGCACTAGTGGTACCGGTGAATGGGACACATCAATGTGACGTCCCACATGTGTTGTTTTCTCCAGAGCTTCGTGCTCCATGTGAGAACAAAAATCTAACGTGTGCACATGGAGGGCGTATCCCTTTGGGGAGCCCCAAAAACTTGTCGGGCCCCCCTCCAAAGAAAGACCGAAACATGATGAGTCCCCACGCCCTAAACAAAAAAATATGGGTCCGGTGGATGTCCCACGTGGTTTCCTATTAAAAGCCAACCCCAAAGGGAGCAAGCCACAACTCAACAAGGGCGCAGGCACATCCCGCGTAAAGGGCACGCACATCCGAGCGGCAGCCTCCAAACCTGCCAGCGCAAGTCCTGGCTGGCGGCTCTCGTCGTTTTAGGCTCGGCGCTTGGCGCCGTGTTCCGGGAAACCAACATGGAAACCACCGACTTGATGTGTTCATTAATTCTGATTTTGTTTTTTCAGCGGGGGAGTTGAGAGTACCAACCTTGGGGGTAGCTTTTTAAGCGAAAGCAAAAGGTCGCTACTGTGTTGTTGTTTCCTTTTTGCGAGAGCGAGGGGTCCAAATCCTGAACAAGGACGAGCCACCCATATGTCCCGGGTTTTTTGTGGGAAAGCCCCACTCACTTTTGGACTGTTGGGCTTCTCTTTCGCAGGGGAAGAGAACTTCCCAACCTCCCACTTCTTGGTTTGCGTCTTCTCAAGGGAACCCTCCTGGTCCAAATCTGCGCAAACGACCTCGGCACAACATGCCCCGCCGCGCCAGCCGCCGCGCCTCGCAGTCCTGGCGGGGGGAAATGAGCGGTCGCTCCGCGTGCGGAGGTGTTTCAACTCAACCGCCGGGGAATCAAATCATTCCAGAGTTTCGTGGGCGGTGCGAAATGGATTGCGTCCATCCAAAGTAGGTGCGGATACTGCTAGATGAACTAAATCCACCCGCTTTCACGTCTCCCTTTGGCTCGCACGAGTCTCCCCTCTCCGGCTCGACCGGAGCGCTCCCAAGAAATCCCGGTCCCTGTGAAGTCGCACCGTGGTCCAACCCACGGCAAAGGTCTCCAAGCCACCCTCCGACACGAAGAAGTCCTGCGACCTCAGCTCAAACCCGTGGACCGAGACCCATCCGTCAGCAGGCGGACGTGAGTCCCGTTTTTTAGCGGGTACCCTGCTTTTGGGCTGCTTTTAAAGGGAAACCAAAGGGGACAACATCTTGGGGAAACCCCTATTTCAAGACACACCCAGGTGGGATGGCTTGGTCAACAAGGTTTCATCCATCCCCACTGGCGTAGTTGGTTCTAGCAAAGAATTAGGACGGATATCCGCACCTGGATGGACGAAATCAATTTCGCACCAATTTGAAGCCATGACAAGCCATGGTTTGTTGGTCTTTACGTCATTCCGGCGTTTATTGTACTGCGAAATGGATTTCGCAAACCATCCACCGTATGGTTGGGACTGTCCCCCCTTCATCTACCCCGTTTTCCACTGCTGTGAGGCAAAGGTCGATGCTCGAGGTTCAGGTTCCAGAAAGTTGAAAATTGTTGACATGGTGTTCCAAAAATAACAATTTTGCAGAGAAAGCAGCTGCGCAGCCTGTCATCCCTGCTCAACCTATCTCAGCCTGACAACTTTTCCCCGGGCCCGCTGCACAGAAAACACATCATCATCACCTTCATTAGACAACCTTTCTGGAGGGCTGCGGCCAAACTTGGGCTACGACCAAAAGGTAGGACTCTGGAACCATTGGGAGGTGTGCGTGTGGCAACACGCGCTGAGCAATCCATACGGGAAAACATTGCAAATAAGCTCAGGTGATATCCCCAACAGCATGCGGTGCTCTTTCTAGTGCTCGCACCCCACAGCCCTCGCAGAACCTCGTGGAACTTTGGTGGAACCCTGGTGGAACCCTCGTGGAACCTTACCGCAGGGCCGCCCCGGACCACCCCGGAGCCTATCTGGGCTGAGACCCCAAAGCTTTCAGCTGTTGAGGAAAAAAAAAGATAGCAATCGTGTTGATGCGTCGCAACAGTTGTTGAGCCCCAAATTGGTGGGCGTCCTGTTCGCTTCCCTTCACAACCAAAAAGGTGTTGCTGAAAATAGGGGAAGCCCAAAAAGAAGAGTTGTTTCCTCTAGATGTCTTTGTGAAACCATCCCCAAAAGGGGCACCCTCAACAAAGACTCACCCACAAGTTCGAGTTCCTTTGAAAGAAAGTCGGCGGCGGCTTCAGTTGCAGCTGGGCGGCTGATCCACTGCAGTGAAGGCTGCGCCCACCAACCAGAAGATGACACAAACAAAGATCTGCAAGGTGATGAAAATGGGGCCTCAGGCTCAAGCCCAAGCCCACCTTTCGGCCTCTCGGCTTGGAGATGAGGCTACCCTTGTTGCCTCGGTTTAGAGGGAAAATGGACATTGCCACCATTTTGGAGGTCCGACATCCTATTTTGACACACAAACCCACACATGGGCGCTTGAAGAAAAAAAAAAACGACCTTGCGCCCGGTTAGAACAAAAATGTGTCCAGGGCGCGATGGGTCTTCATGTGCTCAAAGTCATCTACGGCCTGCCAGCGAAAACGAGGCTGATTTCTGGGGCTCAAACGGCTATGAATTTCAACGAGGAACCCCCTCAAAAGCGGTTGGTGGACATAAATCTCCACCTAAATGATGTCCACGAAAGGGTCCCTCCTTGAAGTTCATACCCAAATCTCTCTGACGAGCCATACGCAGGCGCGTGAGAACTTGAGATCGATCGCCTCACCGTCCACTTCTGCCTCCACTGCCGCAAAGGCGTCCTGACACAGGTTTCTATGCGTCAAATAGGCTCCAAATTCCGGCTTTGTACGGATATTTGTTTAAAACCCGGTTTTCCGAGGTAAATACCTTCTTTTCTAGTAAAGGATTGACATCATACCCTAAAAAAAGGGTTGGTATTGGGTGTAGGGGTGTTTTTTTTCTTCATCTTTCTTTTTGCCCTAAAATAAGGTCCAGGTGAAGAGGGCTCCCTCCCGCCCAAACATCTTATCCTCCAGACGTGGGCTGCCCGGCCTCGAGGTCCACATCTCCATCCCCGTCGACGTCGAAGATACCTCACTCGGTCAGTCAAATGCAAAAACGACGTCAGACCCTCGGCCCCGCCTGCATCTGAGACTTTGGCCTGGCGGCTGCAACAATGGGCTTCCAAAACTTGACGATTCTCATTCAAGCACGCCCAAATGGGTATGTCTTTCTTAGGGGACCCCCAAAAATGGCGGGTGCCCTCTTCGTTTAACCGAAAAGGGGTCCTCGAAAAAATATGACAGACTCAAATGGTCTTTCAGCTCCCGACCTTGAACTCTTCACCAGGCCCCCCCAAATCCATGGACATGCGAACACCAAAATGTTGGATGTCTGTGTTCCATGGACCCCCAAAAAAAAGTCTGGTGGTTTTCCCTTAGCCACAAGCAAGGAGTACCCTCCAAAACGACAGAATTCTTGTACAGTCCGCAACTTCTGCCACTTCGCTCCCCGCCTCGGCCGGCTCTTCCGCGGCTTCGGAAGCCTCTGCCTTCGGCTCGCTGGGGCCCTTGCCGTCGCTGCCCTTCTTGGAGGACCGCTCCACGGTCGGCTTCTTGCTCTGCCGAGCCTCGAAACGAGCCAAAAAGAAAGCCGAAGCGGAGCTGCGCGTGCGAAGCAAAGACGTGGCACCTGCACAGCTGGGGCTTCCAAGGGCCCGCAACCGGGGCTCTTGGCTTATGGAGAATCAGCCAAAGGCTCTTGGCTTTTTCAGGGTGGATCGGTTCAAGACGCCTTCCGTTGGTCGAACCAGCTCTCCACGAAATCCACAAAGACCTCCACCTGAGGAAAGTCATGTCACACACATGCCGTGGTCCATGGTCAAAAAACTCCCAGGTGCGCCACGGTCATGGCACCTTCATGTCTGAAATCGCTCAGAGGTCCATGTTTGACCCACACATGATTGCTTGTCAAGCTGGGTTCCGCTACCTCCAAACCTGGACCAGGGGTTCAAGGGGGTATACCCGGTCTCCCCTGACACCTGGCGGTTTAGAAGTCTGGTTCCCGTTTTTTTTTTTTCGACTCTCGGCATGGCCAGGCGATGTGTCCGGTGACTAAGGGAGCGGCTCTGCTCGGCCTGGCGAAAAGGGCACGACTCGCCGCACTGAGAAAACTCTGCTCGAGCTGAGCTCGGCACTTCTCCTCCTCGTCCATGGCGGTTTCCGGCATGGATCTTTTCAGGAGGCTGACTCTGCCAACCGGCTAGCGTTTTCTTTAGCTCGCGTCCCTTTGAGCTGCGCAGAAAAGTATGTAAGCATGCTGTAGCTTGCAGTACATGCATGCTGCTTGGAAAAAAGGCAAGAATCTGAGCCAAAGTCGGCATCTTGCAAACGTGCATTCGCAAGCAGTCGAGTGCAGAGAGTCACGTGAGGGCTGTCAAAATGATCGCCACCCGTTAAAAGAGGGGCACGCACCGGCGTGCCAGGGTCCAAAAGGATATGCGTCAAGTTGAGTGCGAGCCCTAAAATTCTGGCTCTCCTTTTGGCATTCCCTCTCAACCACTCCCCAAAAAGGATATCTTTCTAGGGGTTGATTCCCCATTCTTTCCAACCATCATTCTTTGTAGAAACCAGCTATTTTCCCTTGGTTTCCGGAGGTTGTCTAGAAAGAAGGATCCCTGGAAAGAATGAGAAAGGTACCCCTAGAATCTTCTTGACGAATCCGCCCCCCTCCCCACGTGAAAGACAGATCTGGGTGTCTGGCAGGGCAAAGCAGAGTGGAAAGTTGTGCCGTCCCCGCTGTTCGCCTGGGCGAGGGTTCCGACCCCAAACCGCAAGAACTGGAAGATTTGGGCCTGCAACCGCTGAAATTGACTTCCCTGTAAACCAACGGGTCCCCAAAAGGGTGCCCAGCCTCAAACCAAACGCTCCCAAGTCCGTTTGGGTGCGTGTCAAAATGTGGACACTTCGGAAAAATGGTGCTGCTTATGTGCACCTCATGGACACTCGCTTCGTCTCTTTCTCATCGCTTCTCAGACTCACCGTGTGTCCTTCTCTCACGTACAAAAATTAGCGCAGCAAGGGACCCATCTCTTCATCCTACATCTCTTTAGCTCTTTTTTTTTGTCGGGAGCAGACAGGCAGGCGAGAAAAGGAGATCACTGTCATTCGCCACCTCTATGCCATCACGTACAAACAGTGAGTGAGAAGAGGCTTAGACGCGCGAACCGCCTCCCGTCCCTTCCGTCCTACTGCGGAAGACAAGGGTCTCATTATATCAAAGTGAATATGGTACCGAGCCTCAACAAGAAACAGTCACACCCATTCGACGGATTCCAGACGAACACAGGATGTTCTAGATTTCCGCCCAACATCTCACCCCCAACAAAAACTCACCTCATATAGCACAAAAATTGTGATATGGGCATGGGTCAAAATCCCGTACCCCCAGTGCACATGCCAATCCCCACTAAAATAGACTAAAATGGGTGGTGCACCTTCTTGGAGGTTAGGGAGTGGTTTCCCATCTACCGTTCCATTTCACCGCCAATCCCAACCACCTTTTTCAGGGCAACCTGTGTACCAAACCGGGAATCCCGTCCGGACGCGTGTTTCCAGGTCCCAAGAAGACAAGTCAACCGCGTCCCGCCGCTTCGCGCAAGCGAGGCCCTGTCGCAGCGGGACCCGCCTTCAGAAAAAGGCCCTTGGACGACTGGAAAGTGGCCTGAGAGCCTCGGGAAAATCGCCGAAAACGTGCTCGTACACATGTACATACATATATATATATATATATATATGTACACATATATATATATATATAAAGATTCATTCTGGCTTGCTCTTTTCCGCGCTGCAAGACCAGATTTGTCTGAAAAATTGAAACTTGAAACCTGCATTAAATACAACACCTCTTCCCAGTAGGTTGTTCAAGACCCCGGGGTCTTCCTGGCCAAGCCCAGGTAAGCCCCAGCCCCAGCCTTGATTAAAGACTACCCCACCTTGTCTGGCCAAGCCCAGAAACTAAAAGGGGGTTGAGTCTTTCGAGTCGGATTACCCCTCGACTCCTTAAAACTCCAACCGCCGTCTTCCCTCGGGGCGGTTTTGAAAAGGGTCGGATTGCCCCTCGACCTCACTTTTGACCTTCTTTCCACGTCCCCCAGTCCTGCCTTTGGCATGCTCAAATTTCGGCAACGATGCTTTGACTGCGGCCAGATACTGGTTTTTGAACACCCCCACATCCGGATGGTTGGGTGTTTTCATTTCAGCCTGAATGGCTAACCCCTCATTAAGGTAAATACGGGCGGTCTTCTGCGCCTGCCAACGTCCCTGGACAAGAATCTTATCCAAAGACCCATGTTTACGAAACCAAAAGGTTGCCCCACCGCGCCTTAAACTGTATGGACGAAATTCAAAAGCGTCCAAGTGCAGATCCTTGAGGTACTGCGCGAACTTCTGACGCCACTTATGGGGCGCGGGACACAAGTTGACGGGAGTCACCGCAGACTCCTTCCACTGTGAGAGTCGACGAACGACATCAGCGACTGACACGGTGACGCTTTCGGCGGCACCCTGCCGCTTACCAGCCTTGGTAAGACCAAGTGACATGACTGCGGGAGTAAATCCAACTCCGGGAGAAACATGGGATTTCATTATACCCAAAATTTCGCCAGTCCTCAACATGGAATAGAAGCCGACAAGGAGTGAAAGGGCAAAAAGCGGATCCTTCCGGAAAAGCGCCAGACCAACTAGCGCGTGAAGGATATCTTCGGAAATTGGAGGCGCACGATTTGGCATTTCATTAGAAACCCAAGTCTTCATAAGTCTCCAGCTTTGCTGGAGCTTGCCTCGTACCTGGGGTTGCGCATCTTGTATGGCGGCTAAAGTATCAGACCCCAGGGCCCTGCCTTCACCATTTGCCCATAAATGCTCCAAATATTCGCCGACCAACTCATCCAAGAAGGATTGATCAGTCGGAAGAACCTTCCCATTAAATTTGAGGAAGGAAAAGAATCCTTTCAAAGCTCGGTCATACCGGACACGAGTAGCTGGCTGAACTGTGATTTGTTTTAAACTTCCAAGTCGCTTGCGAATTTTGACCCTGTCTTCTTTGGTTCTCCCTTCAACGCATTTAGGGCTCATTTTACCCATTTCTTCCGGACACTACGCCGACTCGGTCGGTCGGCTGGATTCTGAGACGTGTGGACATACGCCCACACCGGAAAACAACGGGAGGCCAAAAGAAGACAATTGATGCGGGTCAAAGTTCTGCGAAGTTTGCGACTGCTGGTACGCCCTCGGGCAAGGGAATGCATGCATACTAAACTGTCCATCAAGTGAATAAATTTGGCACGAGCCACTTTGCGTTTTTCAATCCACCACCTGACACTGGTTAAAATGGCCCGGAGTTCCAGGCAATTAATGTGCTCGGGGTCTCCTTTCCAACCCCACCCAGCAACAGTCACCCACCTCCAACACTGCGAAGGGATGCTAGCCCGCAACCTATGAAACTTCAACTGTTCCTCAGCGGACGAGTGAACTAAAATATCCTCTCCCTTCAAACTGACATGGTTGAGGAATTTCTTGGCGAGAGTGAGCTCCTCCTCCTTCGACCCTCTTTTTCGGGAAAACGATAGGGGGGGTCGCTGCAAAAAATCCATAAAGTTGCGTCCTGTGCCAGGCTTTGTAGCCTCCACTGCGTCTGAAGGGGTCAATTGCGGGCATAGACCCAATACTGATCCCAAGCAGCTCAAAAGAAAAGTGATGACTGTCACGTTCCACGAATTGCCAATAAGCGTGAGCCGCGTATCAGTCTTTTGTGTGGGAGTTGAACCACTTTTCGGGAGGCAGTTCTCAGTGTAGTTGATGGGAAACCCCATCATTGCCTCTCGCTCTCGTACATTGGGCAGACGAACCTCACCAGCCTTGTTGAAAAGACAGTAACAAGTCCTGTACTGGTAAGGGGGAAACGAAAAGAATCGTCTTCCCATCTCTGACGCTCCTCAGGGGAACACTTGTTGAGTCCCGCCGGCCTATGCCCAGGGAAATTTCAAGGTCGAGATGTGGTAAAGGTCGGTCTTTCTCAGTTCCCCTCATGGACCATCCAGGTTCCAAATAAATACTGGGGTCGATGGAGGCGTCAAGCTCGATGTCAACCACGGCTCCGTCTTTCTTATGAACGTTTGGCATGTCAGGGACCTCCCAATCAAACCAGTAAAGTCGAGGTCGATGTGCGAGCGACTGAAACTTCTGCTGCATCAATTCGAACAGGTGATAGCTCCACAGATGCTGACATAAGGAGACGATCCGTGTCGTCCATTGAGGCAACTGACTCCATAAGAAGACGAACTTGACACCAGGGAAAAGCCTGTTTAACCAGTTCCAGTATCCTAGGAACATGGGCGAACAAGCACGACCTTTCGTCTTTAAGGGCCCCTTTACGGTCAGCGTTGAGTCCACTGACACCTTGGCACGGGGGCCCAGCTCCCACGACGATCAAACTTGCCTGCGAAAAATGGGTGGCCCAACCCTTTACCACCTCGGCATCCACCGTAGTAACATCCTCCCACATAAGGGAGGCAGGGTACCTGGATTCTGTAACCCTCCTGGCCTCTGTGTTCTTTTCGACAGCAATGTGACCCAGCAATGGCAGCCGCGAGGCCTCCGCCGCAACTCGAAGTGCACCAATGCCATCGAAGAGCCCAATGGTCACCACCCCGCAAAAATCAAAGGGTTCAGGAAGGTCACCTCGCTGTGGCCTTTGGGAGGCTATAACTCCCCACGGGCTCAGGCCCTTGCTCCGGGTTACGCCTCCCCCCGTCGACGAAGCGTCACTTGCTGTAACCATCCCCTGGATCTCTGTACGGAAATCAAAATGTGCAAGGGGAACCAAACCCACAAACCTCAAGATCTCCATCTTGACCAACTCAGGAGTACGTAGGACGGATCCTTCTTTCAGACCTTCGAAGCTCTTGATATAAGACCATATGTGGTTCAGCGCCGAAAGGAGGGGCCTACGGAACATAGTCATATAAACGAAACCCCCTCCCACAATCTGAGCTTGTCGTTGCGTGCTAAAGGTAGAACTGGCTAATTTCAGCCCCAAAACCACATACTTCAGGATCTTGTCCACCTTTGGATAGGCAACGCCACGCACCCCGTCAACCACAGCTCCCTGTACTTCTGCCTGAGATTGGAGGGCCACAGCTTTCTTGGGGTGCCTTGGGATGTTCCATCTTGCATACGCCTCCTGAAGGGCCAACACAGTAGGAGTCAACTCTCCCTTCAACGTGGCGGCTAGGTCCTTGTTCACCTTTGTGAGCTCGTCAAAATTGTCCAAATAAATACGGAACATGTTGCTAGAAGAAGGGAAAGGCTTGTCACGCCTCAACTCCTGATCCCCTCCATTTAGGCGACCTGAGTTCATCAAGCCCTGCCGCAAAACATACCGATGTACATGTTGGGCAATGCTCACAGAATTCTTGAAACCCATCGGAAGAACAGTCGCCGCCAGGTAACATGTACCAGATGTCCCTTCACAGAGGCTTTTAGGCAAAGGGCGGTTGAAAGCCATGAACCTATGCCAAGAAACGGGTACTTTAAAAATATAAAAGAAACATCTCACGTCCTCGCTTGAAATGAGAAGGTCCTCATCGACATCCAGCGACAGTGGTCCCATGGAACTCCACGAAGGAAGAGTAGCAACGTCGCCCTCAATACCCCGACAAATACGATTCAAGGGTATCAAGTTCATGATGAGCCGGTGGACCTCAATCTCGCCTGACCAGTCGCCCTTCGAAACCCCGAAGAGACCATTCAACAAGGGCTTGTCCTGAACGTGATAAACCTCTGACTCCTCAATAACTTTGCAAATGCCTCGTTGAACCAGGTTTGTTGCGAGCTCCTCCCAATCCCCGGGAGGAACCATGACCTTGGGCCCTTTCGTGAACACCTGGTCCTCAACCGGGAGAAGATAGTTCTCGAAGTTCTCAACATAATGTTTGCACCCTGCATCACAAACGTCAGAAAGGGCGACCGTCCCAACTTCCAAGGGCAACGCAGGGGATAACATCTGTCCCATCTCCAAACATAGACACTGGGGAGCCATTAAGATGATTCAATGACCAAATCATGTTCTGAAGAATCCTCAACTCCTCGTCCTTCATGTTCGGGAATAGTTTCTTGAGGGAGCAAAAGGCTGATGGCAAGGGAAAGATGTTGCCAATGGACTTGGTCATGCAGCTTGAAGATAAATATTGAAACAGCGATGCTCCCAAATGAACTGCTCCCTCACCAAAAGTAAGGCCCCCCAGCATCTCTCCTACTCCCTTCTGCGCCTCTACCTCGGGTCGGCCCGAGGGCAGAGGCACCATCCCCTGGCTAGGAGCGCTATTGGCTCCCATCACGGCAGTACCTCAATTCTTCCACCATTCTCTGTCATCTTCCGAGGGACGCTGTGGTCCAAGGTCTCATCCTCCTCTGTCATAGTCCGGTCCTCACCTCTCCCATTCTTAGGAGCTCTCCAGGCTGACACTTCCTCCTCTTGGCTGACTCCTGCCTTCCTTACTTCTTCTCCGCACCTTTTGATCCCTTCTCCTCCTTGCCTTTCTTGCTCTTGCCTTTGCCGTCTCGTCCTTTTCCTGGCTCTCGCCAACCACCCTTCGGTTGCTGCTCCCTCCCAGGAGCACCTTTTCCAGGGTTCTGCCAGGCACCTTCTCCGCGGGCTTCCTTTATCGCGATCGCAGCCTCCGCCCGGGTTGCTACCTGAGCTGTCTCCAAGGGGCACAGCTCCATCTTCTGAGCAGTCTGCCACGGCATCCCCTGAGAGCATGTGTTGCTGGAACTGAGCACGAAGCCTGCCTGAATAGAATATTCGTGAGGTTCTCCTTCTTCGTCGGCAAAGATTCGTCCATCCAAACTCTGGCACAAATCCCCCCTTGAAAGAGCCAGGGTTGTCAACGCTCCACGGGAAAACTGCGAGACAGGCGGTCCAAGAATCGGCGCGTGATCCCACGCTGCAGGTGAATTCCAACACAATGGAAAACACGTTGCCAAAACCTGTGTTTCTTGGCCACCAAATATAGACGCCTCCAGTTGCAAATTGCTGTAAAACGCCCACGTGAGACCTGCTCCAACGATTTCAGGCGCTGCAGCAACAGGTCGATCGCCTCGGCGACCCTCCCTTGGGCCAGGAGGTCCGCACCATAGGCCAGGGTGAACGCTTCTCGGGCCATCACGCCATGGACTCCCACCGGCGCCAAATCTCTGTTTTGGCCCCACAGCTGCCCTGAAGCCGCGACCAACGACTTCTTCATTTCGTTGATGGACGCCGCCGCCAAAACTCCTGGGCCTCTTACTCCAACTCTCCTGATCCTCTGCGCCTCCTCGAACACCCCCTCCTCCCCTGTCGACTCCTCTCCCGAAGAGTCCCGATCGGAGGTGTCCATCTGTCTCTGGCCTCAGGCTTTTCTTTACCTTCCTCACCACCTGTCTCCTCACCTTGACGTCCGGGTCCATCCCGGTGTTTCCAAACACGGCGCTCAGCTCCTTTGTTGCTTCGACCTTTACTCCTCTCTTCGCCTTCTTTTTCTTTTTCTTCTTCTTCTTTCTCCTCCGGCTGGATGAGCTGGTTGAAGAGCTTGACTCGCTGCTCGCCCTCTTCTTCTCCATACCTCCTGCCTCCTTTTCCTTTACCCTCCTACTCTTTCTTCCAGCCTTCAAATCCTCCTTGTCCAGCTCGTTGCCCCTCTCTCTCAAGGCCGCCATGTCGTCCACCTGAAACGGCACATGCCCCACCAGGTTGTCCAGCCACGCCTCCCCTGCGCCTGGGAGGCGAAGCCTGACTTTCTTCACGTGGACCAACCCGTCCTTGCATAGGCCTGCCACGCAACCATCCCCGCACATGTGTAGCTTGCATCGGCTCGCTGGGTTCCCTGTCGACCACTTCAGGAGGTCCTCGTTCTCCGTGCCCAACAGCCGAACCTCCACGACGACCCCTGCTCCGTCCTCTTCGACTCTCTCCACTGTTCCACATAGCGTCACGGGGGCTTCCCAGTAGTTGCCTTCAACCACGATCAAGCTCTGGCCTGGCCTAATCAAATGTCTTGGCAACTCCACAACGTTCACAATCTCCCCTCTCTCAAACCTCTCTTCAACTGGAGCCACCTCTCTACCAGCCGGCCTCCTCAACACGGCAGGGTCCTCTCTCTCTTCCTCCCCTGCTGGTCTCCTTCGGACCCTAGGAGGAGCTACCGGCAGCCGGGCAGGGGCTCTGGCTCTCCCTTTCGCAGCTGCTTTAGCCTTAGCAGCTCCTCGTCTTCCGCCCACCTTCGGAGGCATCAATCTCCTCGGCCTCCCCAGTGCTTTCCACCACCTTTTCCTTTTCCACCAAAGCGCTCTCTGAACCTCCTCTGCTGCTCTCTTTTCTTACGCCCTTTGTTCTTACCTCTCCTGTCCTCACCTCTGTACTCCTCTCGGGGCCGGATCAGCAGGTCCTCGACGAAGCCCCCCGGGAGCCTCCGCAAAGGGGACCGGCTGAGGTCCCTCTTGATCTCCTCCTTCTCCCTGCTGTCCGATGCTTCCTCTCTCCTCTCTTCACCTTCAGCCCGTTCCTCAGTGGCCTCCTTGCTCTTTGCAATAAGCCGCCTGATGCGCCCTTCACTCGATTTGCTCCTATGCCTCCTCGCTTTATCCTCCTTGCTTGATGACACCGGAGAAGTGGGGGTCCGATGCCTGGCTTCCCTTGGACGCTCCTCTTCCTCCTCGCTCGCGGCGGGCTCCTCCTTGACCCCCACAGACCCTCCGACCTGGTGCAACGGAAACTCTTCCCTTCCTCTTTTCAATTCCTTTCCTCCCGGACTCCTGGTGACCTCCACGCTCTCCTCACGTTTCCCCCTCGATGACCTAGACCTCTTCCTTCTCCTCTCCTTCTCCTTCTTTTCCTCTTTCTTCTTTTTCTTCTTCTCCTTCACTCTCTCCTCACCGGCCTCTTTGGCCCCAGCAGCCTCTGCCGCTGACCCTGTGTCGGAGGCCGGGGGGACTGCCAGGTCCCCCGGTCCTTTTTCAGGAGCTCGAGCTCCCGCTGGAGATGCTCCCTCGGAAGAAGCACCTCCTACCCTCCCGTCCCAGGAGGGGTTGCTGCAGGGGGCTGGGTTGCCAACCAGTGATCCCGATCCCGAAGGTCCAGGATCTCCCTCTGCAGCAACCTCACACGCTCGAGGGCCCGGCTCCAGAAAAAGTAGGAGCTAGACCCTCGGCACAGGTCCCTGACCCTGCTAAGGGTCAGGCACAAGTCGCACTGGCACACTCCTTCGGAGGAGTGGCCAGTGGCCATAACCCGCAAGCCGAAATCTGGCGGAACGCAAACCTAATTCATCTTTACATACCGGGGCGTTACATCATATGTGTGTGTGTGTACATATGTAGAATGCTACCTCTCCCCCAAACCTACTAAAATTGCATTTCCCATGTGTTGAGATTCAGGAACGGTAAAGTCCTTCTTCAGAATCGTGAACCTTGAATCTTTCAAGATTTCCCAGAATCTTGAGTCTTAACTCTCATCCGCTTGTAACAAGTGAAGCCTTCAATCTTGCATCTCATCCACCTTTAGTAAGCGAAGTACGCTTTGGCAGCTCCAGCATGAAAGATACAGCTTTTTAGCATAAGAGTAGTACGCGAAGTACACGTTGCAAGCTTGAACGTGCGTGTAACAGCGCTGTATCGTTTCTTTGATCATATCGTGTTGCAGGGAAACTGACAAACCTTCAATTTTGGGGAAAGCAATTCGTGCTGATCTAAATTGCAGCTTAAAAAACCAAATCGATTAATCACAGAGGTGATCATGTCCTTGCGCAGCTCCATTTATATTCTAAATCAATTCTAGCTATATGATTCCAATTTCACTCTAATTCAAAACATAACCTTCTGACAGCAGTTTAGTCAATAACATCTGCTGAACATCAAATATGAGAAGGAGATCCATTTACGCATTCCGAATAAAACTGCCAAGGGAGAGAACAACTATTGACGTTGCTAGTGGACATTGAAATCAACGTCAAATTTAAGGGTAACTGCCCTCGTCTACATCCACGTGACCACGCACGAACAGAGCCAAGTCAAAAACAGGAAACTGTTTCAATCAACATGGATCAACAAATATAGTAAACTGCGGTGGTGTTCAGCATCTGTTGAAAAAGGTCAAAGAGCAGCGTGCACTGTCTCCCGAATTGATCACACTGGACGCCTGGTAGGTCCAACACCTCGCTGAAAGCAAAGCTTCTTGACAAATTCAAAGTTTTTGGGCTGGATCCAACATCGAAGATTGAACAGAAAACGATATTCACACAGAACCACTGGACCACAAAAACAAAAAGCCAAACAACCAATCCTGCCCCCACCACGGCTGGACATCTTGTGGGTTTTTGGTGTCTTGTGTTCTTTGGTTTTGCCAAATCTTGCGCAACATGTGGTATGTATGCGTGCGTGTGCGGGTGCGGATGTGTGTGTGTGTGTGTTGTGACTCATTATGTAGTAGTTCAATATAAGATTTGCGGTTTTGCTTTTTATCTGTGCATCCAATTATCAATGTGTCAAGATCTTTTTGGTCTACTCTGTGTCGTTACCAATGAGTACAATCGAGCTGGGTCACTGGAAACGCACTAAACAAGCAAGACCGAGAGTGAAAAGATGTGAAAAGCACGTGCAAAGGACATAAATGTAGCTGCTATAAATATGTATATGTCTCCAAATACTTCGCTCTGAGTCAGAATAATAAGGCGGCTCGACCCCAGTCGACCCCCCCCCCCCCGCCTGAGACGGTGATGATCTGCTGGTTGGGGACGTTGAGCGCATAGAAGGTGAGATTGAACTTCGGGACCTGCACCTACACAGCGACGTCGATCGAAAAAGGGGCAGATGTGTTATTCATTTTGTTGGTAGAGTTCTGTTCGTTTTCGAATAGATTGCAAGCCTCCAACTGAACTGCGCTTGAGTTTATTAACAAAATGAATATTTGGGCTGGGTGGAGGTGTCTCAAAAAAGTAAACCCGCTGTTGTAGCTGAAGGGAAACCAAGAGCGAGCCATCTCAACCAGGACTTCCAGCAACATGTACCCTCCTGGCGAGTTCAAGACCCACTTTCCACGAGAAGGGGACCAGTTCTCCGGTGGCTTCTTGGCGCATGTCCCGCCTTCCCCCCCCTTCCCCCCTTTGCGGGCCCGAGGACCGAATTTCCCCGGGCCCGCCTGGGTTTTGGTCTCGCTATCTATCAGCCTGAACTTGAAGGACCCCGAGGTTCCAGACCTGGGCTCCCCGATCGATCCGCAAATTGTATACTTCCAAAAGCTGAAATAAGAATTGGATCCCCAAGTAAAGGACCTTTATCATTGTGAGCTCGTTCTACCAGGTGAGCTCACGACAAAATGTTGATTTCGTTGCTTACGCTGAGACAGAGCCGTCTCAAGGGGTGGTGGTCAGTCCCGAGATCTGCACCTACTGCATGGCGACGCGAGATCCAAAAATCACACCACGGTTCATGACACCATGCTTGAAACCATAACGTTTGCTACGGTACTTGCTCTGGGGAATCGAATCAGAAACCAGGGTTTCTGAGCGGTGGTGCGAAACGGATGTACGCAACCATCCACAGTATGGATGGGACTGTCCCATTTCCTTCATCCCGGGCTTTGATTTCTCAATGGGATTACGCCAGGCCCTAAAATGGAAAGACTGGCAATCACCACCTAACTGTGGTGCAGGCCCTGTGCGCCGAGAAAGAGCCGCTGAGCGTCGGGCATCATGTTGATGCGCCCGAGGCGCTCATCAGTGGCTGCCTCAGCAGACTTGGCGATGGCACAGGGTCTTTGGGTCGTGGCAGGCTGCTTCAGGGGATTCCTAGAACCCAAGCATCAATGGCGTCACGGAATCAACATGCCGTAGGGGGGCTCAACTATGGCGTCCAAGTGCCCGGCACCATTTTGGCTGGGATTTCGCGGCTCGTATTGCGGATCATCTTCTGCAACTGCGAGGTGCGCCCAATCTTTAGTGACCGGCACGGCACAAGGACAGCGCGACACTCGTGTTCCACATGCATTGTGTCCAAAGAAGGGAAGAGCTAACACGAAACCGATAAACCGAACAAGCAAACACAACCAACCAACCAACCAGCCAACCTACCTACCTACCTACCTACCAACCTACCAACCTACCAACCTACCAACCAACCAACCAACCTACCTACCTACCAACCTACCAACCTACCAACCTACCAACCTACCAACCTACCAACCTACCAACCTACCAACCTACCAACCTACCTGGGAAAATCAGAGACTAATCTCTGCTAATCAACCAAGGCAGCAAATGCACCTTTGTCATCTTGAGCCAAACAATGGTAATCAGTATGAATTACATCCAAGTGGGAATGCATGGTGTACTTTCGCACGCCCCCTTGGATTAATGGAAAATGTGGAATTAATCCACACTCCACTAGCACAAATGCATTCCAAAGAATGCCAAGCTGCCTTGAAATCTTTTCTCTCTGCAAAATGTCTATGCAAAACGGGTGACCTAATCATCACCAAAAGAATTGCAATGCTGGGAAATGCACAAGGACAAGTGGTTGAATGTATTGTGGACTCGAATCACAGACAGAATGTGTTCCAAGAGTATCGCCTCCAGAATCACCAGAAAACGTCCTCTCAATGTATTGGTGTCATAGATGAATCCAAACCAAAAGTAAACTGTCATCTACAGTAATGTTGTAACTGTACCTCCACACAAATGCCGAAAACTGAATCACAAATGAAGTGGCAAATCGAACCAGGCAAAATCGCGATATCCAATGAACATAGAATCTCAATGCAAATCCAGTGTGGAATAAATGCATCCAAATCGGTGCCTGGCCAGAATCGAAATCCCAGCTCCACCAATGCTGAATCACAGCTTCGCTCTGTAATATGAATCTACCAGTGACTTGGGAATCTCCTGGTAGTCGCCCATGAATTTGTCCAATGAAGTCTTCCAGGTCTTGGGAATGAACATGTGGTAATCCCGGTACCAATGGGAATTGCTTTGCTGCAATGAATTGGCAGCGAGCATCAATTCCCCAATCTGGGCCTTGATATTGAATCCGGCCATGGAGCAAATCTCCTGCATCGCCAAGCTGTCTCTTGAATCCCAAATGTAATCCTTGAAGTGAATGATGGGGTCAATGTGAGACCTCACAAATACGTGAGTAAATGAATGCCTCATGAAATCAAGAAATCGCTGCGAATGTGGCCTGAATCCAATCACCACTGGTGTGTCCGCCAAATACTGAATCAATCTGTTCTTTGCATCACCCTCTGGTGCAAATGATCGCTCATAGCTGAATGAATACAGAAAGAATAGCAAAGACGAACGCGGGCTCAAATGGAATCCAGTAAACTGACTGTTCCAGAAACAATGTGAAGCAAGAATTGCAAATGTTCCCTTCATAGCCTCAGGAATGTTACTGGCACGGCCCTCAAAAATCCTCTTCAAATGGTTCCACATTGCTGAAGGCATGGTGAAATACAGCATGAATGGCAACATGCAAAAGTTCAAATGTTGCAAATTCCAATTGGGGTTGAATGGAATCAATCTCTCCACCCTTGGTGGGAATTGTAGCCACAAATGCCTCTCAAATGGAGTATAGGACATACTCCCAGCCGCAATGTTTGGAATGATCCTGATCAGAATCTGCGCACTCCAGGCATCGTCCGCGAATCGGTTCATGAAAATAAAATCCTGGAACCCAAATTGTTCCTGTTGCTGGCCGCTGAATAGAATCTGCCACAACATCGTGGCCGTAATGAATGCCTTGTATTCCGAAAAATTCGTGCGCTCCATCTTCAAATCTCTTGCGAGAATCCGGTGGAAATACTGTCGCGTCAAATTCCGGAATGCGGGCTGTCCATCGCATCGGTCGAAGTAAATGCACACCGAAATGTCAGTCAGAATGTTGAGCAAAACAAATGTTGCAGTCATGCATGAAATGGCTTCGAATTCACTCGTGGCAAAATGTCTTGACTACTGACTAAGTGAAACAGAATCATGTTGACTATCTACTACCTGAAGGGCAAATCCCTAATGTGATGTTATGCCTCTGCAAAATTGCCTTGGCAACATACTTGGTTAAAATGTCAGATGGGTTGAGGGTTCCCGGAATCTTCTTAATCACCAGGGTCCCAGAGGAAACCAGCTCCTGGACAAACAGAAATCGCAATTGGACATGTTTGGTTTTCCGGGATGCCCCAAATCTGACAGCCATGCTCTTGCCTGCAGTTGAATCGGTAAACAGAATGATGTTCACCTTGGGAGCCACAAGGGTTTCCAGAATCAAAGATTTAATGAATAGGGCCTCGGCCGCACCACTTCCAATAGCATAAAGTTCGGCTTCCCCACTTGACAAGGCAATGGTGGCCTGTGTTCTGCTGTGTGCTGAAATGTTGATGCCGAGAATGTTCAATGCTACTCCTGATGTGGACCTCCTGGAATCGGTGCAACCTGCCCAATCGCTGTCCACATAGACCTTTATGTCCAATGATTTCACCTGTCTTCCAATCCGGAAATCAGGTCTCATAACATGGACATAATCCTTGGTTCCACTCAGGTACCTCAACAATGTCTTCAACTTAATCTTGTGCACCTCAGTGGGAGCAACCAATCCTCGTGACAACTCCTTAACAGCATACATGATGTCAACACGCAATGCTGCAAGCCACAACAATTGTCCAACCAATCTCCTATACAATTTATGCTCTTGCGAATTCAACAATTCGTTGTCAAGCAACTTCCGCAATGAATCTCCTCCTGGCGTCTGAGCCGGCTTGCTCTTGGTCATGCCATAGGAATCCAGCATGCGGTCAATGTAATCAGGAGACATGAACAATTCCATGGAATCTGATGTTCGGCGAATCTGACGTCCCAAGAAGGAGACTGTCTTACCTTCACTCAATTCACCTGTCTGCCGAATCAGAAGCACCTTCTTCAAATCTTGCATCACCTCATCAATGTCACGTCGCTCACCTACAAACATCAAATCATCGACATAGACCAATGCCCACAATTTCTTGGTCTTGTGTCGGTACAAATTCGGATCTGACTTCAAACGCTCAAATCCCGCGTCAAGCATGGTCTTGGCTAAATGCTGTTGCCATGCCTTTGGCGAACCTTTCAGGCCATACAATGCCTTCTTCAATCGCCAAAGTACGCCCCCTTGAGGGTAGTACTCCTTTGGAGGAATGACAAAAATCTTCTGCCACAACGTCGCATGCAAGAATGCGGTGGACACGTCTGCAATCACAACATCCAAATTCATGGCAATGGACAACGCAATCAACAACTTCAATGTGGACAAGCTTGGGGTAGAAGCGAATGTGTCATCCTTATCTTCAATGTATTGGTCAAAGCCACGGGCTACCAATCTACACTTCACTTCTGCTCCTTTCCAAGACTTAACCCACTTCATTGAAATTGCTGAATCAACTTCTTCCTGCGTCAAATCCTCGGTTTTCTCTTCTACATACGAATCAAAGTCCTTCATGGAATTCATTTCCTTGTTCATTCCTGCCTCTTCCAAATCTCTGGGGAATTCAGACTCTCCCCACAGAATCGGATTGGCAAATTTCTTCATGTTCCCTAATTCTTCTTCATCCTGGTTTACATGAATGGGCAAGTCCAATGACTCACGCGTGGTGACTGTGGCAATCCTACAATCTTCAACCAATGTGCAACCAAACTCGCATGGCAGAATGGCAGAAATGTAGCTTACAGTAGAATCCGCTTCAGGAATCTCTGCCTGCTCACTGGTTCTCTTAATGCCTCTTGCCTCTGCCAATCTGCGCCTATTGGTTGGAGACTCCGAATGCTCTCCAGGTTCCCTGTCAATGTCCTCATGACCTCGCGTCAATCCTTGGGACAACTGGGCTGACGAATCCTCACCAGTTCCATCGTGATCTGGCTCCTCTGTTTGCTCGTCAGTTGGTGGAATCCCCAAAGGTGGCTGGGGTTCACCTTTCTGGAGCACAGCAGAATCACCCGGAAGGATGAACGAATCCGTTTCGACCTTGGATCCTTTTGGATCCCATGGCAATGCACGCAACCCTTGCATCAAATCTCGCTTGACTTGTGATCCCGGCTGAAGTCTCCGAATGCCTCGCACCTTGTACACAGCATTGGAATCCGCCACAAAATGCTGGTCGGATGTGGTGTCACGTCCAAGCCAAATGCCTGAATGCCACGATGGCTCAGACTTAGGCGCAGGCAATCGGAACTGCACAGACTCGGCAATTCGACACAATGCACCTCCATACTTCTTTCCCCATCGTCGTTCAAATGGAGTGAATCCATCAGACCGATGAAGAAACCTGTTTAGAAGCCACATGGAGTGCTTAACAATCCAAGGAAACAATGGCGAATGCACGCTAACCGACATGCCATACCTATGTTGAATGTCAAGCTTCAAAGCACGAATCTGAGCATACAATGTTGCTTGCATGTTGGAAATGGATCCCTGAGCTTGCTTCCAGCCAGTGGGAGCTTCACGGTATGACAATCCACCAATGTCACCCGTGACTGCCTCGACCAAGGCTTTTAATGAAGCTTCAGGGTCGCACTGAACAATCCCAAATGTCCTTCCAATCTCCAACACGAATTTCCTCAACTCTGCTTGCGCATACACAATGCGTCCTTTGGACGGAACAACGCACGCCAATCCCATTCCACTCAGTACATCAGTGGCCGTGAGCAATGTCACCTGTGTGTCACTTTGTGAATCACCCATAAAGGCGTAATCCACCTGAATCACAGGTTGCCGCACCGAAATGGCACGACTCTGGTTTTGCTTGCTCTTCGACCTGACGCAAATCTCACACCATGATCTGAATGGCAGATGAGTCAACTCATGTTCACGAATCTCATCGTCCGTCGGCTGTTTGGGAACGTACAATCCCTTTGGCCGTTGAGCCGACATTTCCGGAATGTCCGGGTTGCTCTCTTCCAAGAATTGCTGAGACTGCCGACGAAAAATCGTCGCGCCTTTGAATGGCTCAGGAAATTCCGTAGCAGCAGCCTCTGGGTCAGCCCAGTGGTCGTGAATCCACTGGAGTCTCCCGTTGAGGAACACAGCCAATGTGTGCCTCTCGTTCCCCAGCAATTCCTTGGAGGGAGCGGCCGAATCGGTCTCATCTGGCACATACAGACAATTCCTCCACTCATGGTGTATCCTAATGTCAAACTTGGGTGTGAGGTACCATTCATCATGTCCGAATGGTCCTCCTGTCTCCGGGTCACTCATGCACAATCGCCGTTCCACAATTTCCTTTGCTTCTTCCAATTCTCCCGTCGTCAGCTCCTTCACTGACCGGGAATAATCATCCTGGCCAATGTCAGCAGACGGTTGCGCTTTCAAATGAGGTTTCTTTGCTGGCACTGACGCTTCCTGAATGGGAGGTCTTGCAATTGTGGATTGCTTCCCCGTCAATCGTCTTGCCGTCGGCAAGGATTGCAACGGGAATTCTGTCCTTCCCATCCAGTACTGATCCAACGCCCGTTGCGGAGAATCTATCGTCCGCCAATTGTCGGCGATGGTCTCCTCACGTCCATCTTCGAATCGGACGTAAGTTGTGCGTCTGGACGCCACATCTTCCACAGGAATGGGCCTGTCCTTGGTGCCACCTGGCGTGAATAACGCACGCCTTGCGCGCTTGTGATGTCGAATCAGCACAGCGCGTTGCGGATCAAGTTCCCAACTGTCGTTGTGGTAAATGGTGGGCTTAAATGTGGGTGCTATGGTCCCTGAAGAATCTGAACCAAACTTGGAATGAAACTCTTGACACACTTCTTCAAATCGGGGTTTGTCAAATGGAAGAATGTTCGGACCTAGGAAAAGCAGTGAGCCTTTTCGGTGAATACTCACTACCTTACCATTGGGCATAAACAATCCCAATGAGTCTGGTCCATCCAATGCTACGCGGAATCCCTGCAGCAGCAATCGTGCAACCGACACAATCGGATAAGGCACGTCACAAACATAAAAATTCATGAAGCAATCTTGTCCATCCAAGTTCAAGCCAACCAATCTTCTCCCATACATGTTCAATGGCTGTCCTGTGACACTCTTCAATGGTGGGCCATTTCCATTTAATGGAAGCAATGGCCATTGTTCACCAAAGTCTGGCGGACAGCAATGGGCAGATGCTCCTGAATCAAATAGAATCCACGGGGTGGAATCCTCGACTGCTGAAATCAACTGTTCATGCAAGAATGTGTCAACAAACTTCGAATTCAAGTGATCCAAGCCGCAGTCCTTCAAGGTGGTCACGAAATGAAAAGAATCCTTCACTGGGATTGGTTCATCATACCAATCTAACAAGTCTTGTCCGGGAACAGGGGCAATCAATCCGGCACTCAAACATGGCATGCTATCCAATCCAGTGTCCAAGCAATACATCGACTTAAACAATCTTTCATGCTCTCCAAATGTCATCCAACTTTCACCTTCACCCTCAGACGGACTGCCACGAGTGGCAGGAATCTGAAAGGATGATCCTGAGGTGACCGAATTCATGACAAGTGCAGCAATCAAAAATGATGAGGCCTTTGGCTTGGCCTTTGGCCGAATGGGAGTTGAGCCAATGTTTGGACTCAATCCCGGCGGCACCTGTGTCACTGCTCCAATGGTTCCTTGCTGTGAATCTCCTGCTGGGGGTGGTCCTGCCGATGAAAACGCGGCAGAATCGCATCCAGCAGGAGGCTCTGGAATCTGACTGTCCTGAAACCAATCCCAAGGGTGGTCCCAAGAGTTCACAGAATCCCATGATCCCCAAGACGAATCCCAGGACCAATCTTCTCCTTCATCCCAACTCAATCCAGCAATGTCCCATGAGCCATCAGGCCACGACGAATCAGGCCAGGGCTCTTCGGACCATTCTTCATTCCAATCTTCCTCAATCACTCCGCTCACAGCTCTCTGCGGACATGTTCTGGAAATGTGGCCGCGAGAGCCGCAAATCCAGCAGGTTGCAATCGACCCTTTTCCTTTTCCTTTGGAATCCTTTCCTTTTCCTTTTGGGTCCTTTCCTTTGCCTTTGCCTTTGAAATCCTTTCCTTTTCCTTTTCCTTTGCTGAATGCTCCTTTGTTGTATGACCAATGTGGTCCTTTGGCTCCTTTGAATCCTTTGAATCCTTTGCCTTTGCCTTTTCCTTTGAATCCTTTCAGCGCCCCAATGTCCATGGGTGCTGGTCCTTGGTTGTCATTCCCCGGCATGTTCCTAAGAATGTGCCTGGAATGGTGGTACTGCACAATCACGTTTCGTGTTTGTTCATAGGTCAACAATGCCGAAGCATTGAGCCTCAAATGCTGTTGCAATGGGCCTGTTGTCTTGTTCAAGAGGGTAGCCACCAGAATGCTATCAGGAATGGCTTGGCCGGTTTGAGATTCATATCTGGCCTTAATGGTCTCCCAGGTGTTGAAATCTTGTTCAAATGTATTGGAGTGAAACTTGAATTCCAAAATCTGGCTAAGTAAACTCATGTGCCGTGTTGCGTCCGGCAATGCAAATTTGGAATACAATCTCCTCCAGGTTTCATAACCATTGCAGCCAATGTTCTGCCTGACTACCAGCCTTGCTGAATCACTGCACAAATTTGCTAACAAATAATGCAGCCTTCGGGAATTCTGAATCCTTCTGTCTGTGGCATCCTGGTTACCCGCTACATTCAAATGCGCGTCCTCAATGGGTGTGTCTGCGTTGGCCTCAATGCGGTCCATAATCGTTGTTGAATCTGGCAGGAACATGCTCAAATATGTCCTGAAATCCCAGCTCCAATCTTCCCAGTCCTCTGGCTTGCCAGTGAATTTCCCTGGCATGGGAAGTCTTAGCTTTCCTGCAAAATCCTCATCTTGTCCGAGTGCCATGGCAGCTCTCAGAATCAGGTTTCCCTAAGGTCTCCTGAATCTTCGAGCTCCGCTACCATGGGAAAATCAGAGACTAATCTCTGCTAATCAACCAAGGCAGCAAATGCACCTTTGTCATCTTGAGCCAAACAATGGTAATCAGTATGAATTACATCCAAGTGGGAATGCATGGTGTACTTTCGCACTACCAACCTACCAACCAACCAACCAACCAACCAACCAACCTACCAACCTACCAACCTACCAACCTACCAACCTACCAACCAACCAACCAACCAACCAGCCAACCTACCAACCTACCTACCTACCAACCTACCAACCTACAACTTACCAACCTAACGAACAAACAATCAAGCAAGCAAGCAAACAAACAAAAAACGCAAACAAGCACGCCAAACCAAACCAAACCAAACCAAACCAAACCAAGCAACCAACAAAATAGCAAATAAGACAGACAACGAATAACACAAACAACCCAAACCCAACCAAACAGCACCAACCAACCCAACAAAGCGCCAAACAACTCAAACAAACAAACAAACAAACAAACAAACAAACAAACAAACAAACAAACTACCAAGCAAACAAACAAAAAAACAAACCACACAAACAAACAAACAAACAAACAAACAAACAAACAAAGGAAACAAGGAAAGAATGACTGAAATAAGGAAAGAAAGAAAGAAAGAAATAAGGAAAGAAATAAAGAAAGAAAGAAAGAAAGAAAGAAAGAAAGAAAGAAAGAAAGAAAGAAGAAAGAAGAAACAAAGAAAGAAAGAAAGAATCTAAGCAAGAAAGAAAGAAAGAAAGAAATAAAGAAAGAAAGAAAGAAAGAAAGAAACTAGGAAAGAAAGAAAGCAGAAAAAAAAAGAAGAAAACAAAGGAAAAAGAAAAAAAGAAGGAAAAAAAGGAAAGAAAGAAAGAAAGGAAGAAAGAAAGAAAGCAAGCAAGAAAGAAAGAAAGAAAGAAAGGAGGCAAACAAGGCAAACAAGGCAAACTAAAAAAAAACCTTCAGAACCATTCCCACCCCCTACCTCGCATTCGGACTCGCGCTTATTCGTCGCGCGTGACCGAGCCGCGATGGCTTTTCGCGCCTATCTCCAGCTGAAGGTGTCGGCCGTTGTATGTTCCAACCTCAGCTTCCGGGGTCTTCGCAAATGGGTGTGGCTCAAAACTAAACAGGAGGGGCAAACCGCAGGTTTTGGTCCATGCTTCCACTTAGGGTTCCATGTTGGGTACCAACTTTTTGAGCCACAGCCAAATGGCAAGGAAAGCCCAGGATCTCAAAAAGCCAGGGTGGGGGTTTCACAAGTTGAAGCCCGGTTCGACAATGCTGAACGGCGGCTTGGTTTTTGGTAACAAACTGGAGTGACGTCTCTTTTGAGGGTACCCCCTTTTTGGCGGTTCTAAAGGGATTTTCAGAAGAAAAGCAACCATGTAGTGTCCAAATCCTAAGACGAGCCGCCCAGCTACACGAAACCGGGACGTTCGCTTGTGGTCCGTTCAGCTCGCTTTCCACTCGGTTGACCTCGACGCGGAGTCTCTCGCCGCGCGCCTGGTCGAAGACCAGGCTCTGAGCTGAGCCCTGATCCGGGCCTGGCGCGGCGGAAGAAAAACAAAAACACTGGGACCCTCAATTGTTGATGAAAAACAAAAAGAAAAAAAAAAAAAAAAAAAAAACAAGGGGAAATTGTTGATTCAAGAAAGGGGGTTCATGCGCAGAATCCAAACCAAGTGAATTGTTTTCGTTCGTCTTTTTTCAGGGGGTTCATCCGCAGAATCCAAACCAAGTGGTGCCGAACGGGTCCAGTCTGAGATGTCCACTTGAAACCAGAATCACCGGATCCGTTACACTTGCCTGCGCCACCCAGGTTGCTATTTTCCACCTGGTTCAGCTGCAGGGCACGAGGGCCATTGCACCTCAGCAACCAAAACCCTGCAAGCCTTCATGTCTGAAGTTCCGTGGCTGACATTGAGGCAACTTTAACCAGTGGGTGTGGGTCAAAACTGGGCATCGAACATGGATTGCCCTGGTAAATGGAGACAAGTTGCCTAAAACCTGCGCCGGTGGTTTAATTTTGACCCATACCCGAGTCTGGTTTGTGCCAACATCGCCCCATGCGCGTTCCGTGTTCTTTCCCTGACCAACCCTGCAAACCAATCTTTCAACCAAGCGTACCCAGAGCCATCTGGTACCCTTGGCGACGCGAAGGTGTCAAAACAGGGGACTTGGACCCCCAGAATCAAAAACTGTTTTAGCCAACCTAACAATCCTTCAAACCAATTCAAGCCAACCTTTCAATCCAACCTTCCAATCCAACCAAGCCAAGCTTCAACCTTGCAATTTCACCTTTCAATCCAACCTTTCAACCCAATCGGTGAAACCAACCTTTCAGTCAGCCCACCTTTGCCAAAGCTGCCAAAACCCGCACGCTCTCAAGTTCTCAGCTCGCCACGCTGCCTCCGCCAGCAATAAGCCCGAAAAGAGCACCAGGGCGAGCTGGAGACGGCAAAGGGTGTCGAGTGAACGCAAGCGAAACCGATGCAAACCTACCAGAGAAAGTCATATGGGGTTCTCTCAATGGGGGGACCCTAAAATTGGTTTCCCTAAAACACCCAGCCAAAAGAGGGGTCCCCTAAATTGAAACTGACCCATACATGTTCTGTCCACATTGCTTATGGGATATACAGCCACCCCCATTGAGTATTGGACGGTAAGGGGGGAAGCCAAAAGCAAACCAACCTCCTGAACGGGGGCCCTTATCTTTGGAACATCTAAAGAAGTCCACCCCGAATGGCTCGCAAGAACCAGAGCCTCCATGCCCCGAACCACTGATCCAAACCTCAACCAATACCCAAATCCATGTAAAGAATGAAATCTCCAAGCAACACGCCCATGCTTGGGCCTGGAATTCAGTGGGCGGATTCTTCTTCACCAATTTCTGGCAAGAAAAACCGTCCTCAACCTTCTGCCCGATTCGGGTTTTGACCAGGCAAGAGATCATGCTGGGGGAATCCACGGGTCATTTGGGGGGTCCCCAAATGTCAAGATAACTTTCCCCATGATCTTTTCAACGGCTTTCCAACCAATGGTCATCCCATGTTCATCGGACCTTTTGATCAACCCCCATTTCTGGCTTTGACCGCCCCCCTTGTCGCATCTCCAGCTCCATGTTGGAAAGAGCAGGCCAAAACCCTGGCACTGCAGAACCTAGAGCTGCACTTAACGACCTTTTCCGGCCCCCAACTTGAGGTTTCCCACTGTGACTAGAGAAAGCCACTTTTGGAAGCTCCCAAAAGAGAAATGGCTCGGAAACCCTCCGTGCTGCGGCCAACCGCTGGGGCCGCCGCCCTCATGGTGACACAGCAAAGGCCAACTTTCAGCCTGCACGCGTTGCGCATTCCACATGGCAGGCACGCGTCGTCCGCCACACCCAATGGGCCCAAGACTCTGCAGCAAAAAGAAGAAAAACAACATCCGCAAGGGGGTCGCGTTTGAGGCAAGCGGTGCCCCGCTTTGGGGCTGTTTTTCTACGGGCCGTCCTGGGAAAAGCCGCCACTTCGGGGAGGTCGAGATTTTCACTTTGAGACACGCCCAAATCCCAAATCCGCCTCAGCTCCGATCCGCGCAGCCTTTGTGCGCCACCGGGCTCTGAGCTTGAGCCAATGGCCACGCAGTCGGGGTGGGGTGGGCTGGGGTGGGCTGGGGTGGGTGGGGCGGGGTGGGCGGCGTGGGGCGGGGTGGGGTGGATGAAATCCTAGTAAGACAAAGTAAGACAAACCACCCATCCCACGGTCCGCTCAATTCCGAGGATCTCGATCACATTTTGGGCTCTGACTTCCTATGGCTGAGACTGCGGCCCCCCCCTCTAGAAGGACACAAAAGATGGTGGCTGTTCTTTTGTTTTTTTCCGGCTGAACCAACTTGAACTCGCTGGCGCAGAGCCTCGAACCAACCAGAAACACCCATCAAAACCACGTTTCCAACTGTCAGTGCCACACCCACAGCCCCTCTCCCAACTCGCGCGGCCCTTTTTTAGACCGACGTCTTCGGCTGCCAGCGACGAGTTCTCGGCGCTGAGGCACCTGACAGCACAGGCGAAACCCAAGCTTTTGGGCGATGGCTTTTGAATGGAAAAGCCTGAAGGAAACAAGCCAATGTGGACCGCGGATTAATGAACCCCTGCCTGGATGCATTTGTCCATGAACTTTACCCCAAAAACCAGCAGCAGTCACTGAAAAAAGCAGCAACTTGGCTATCTAGGTGCTTATTCATATGGGGGAGCCCTCCGAAAGTGGTCTGAATCCCCAGTAAAGCCAAAAACACCAATACTAAGAAACAGGGCTTCACTCATCCGGGGTCAACATTACCCTCTTTCCAATCATAGAAGTGGACGTTGCTGGGCGCTTGCCAGGAAAGTAGTCTTGCGATCACTTGTGATCGTCAGCTTCAATGATTGGGAGAGGGGACTTTTTGGAAACCCCCTTCCTGCCTTCAGTTTGGCCTTGATAGCCGGGATATCCTACACATCTCGTCTTTCGTACCCATCACAGCAAGCTGCCACAACAGCCAATTCGACATGAGCCCCGCCTTCATTGCCATAGCTCCTCTCCTTGCCCTTGTCTTTGCCCTTTCCTTTGCCCTTGCCCTTGCCCTTGTCTTTGCCTTTGCCCTGGTCCTTCCCCTTGCCCTTGCCCTTGCCTTTGTCCTCTCCAGGGCTCAATCTGCCTCGAGTCTCACAACCAAAACTTTGGGTTCTCAAATAGTGCACCCCTGACAGGTTGCGTCCAGTTGCTTTCCCTAGCACCGCCCAAAGGAAGTCGAAGCACCATGGAGCAACCAAATTGCAAAAATCCGAGCCGTCCTTGCCCTTGCCCTCGCGCTTGGCCGTGGGCGGCAAAATCTCGTCTGGCCCAATAGGCAGAGCCTCTCCCGTTTCCTGGGCACAACTTGGGACGCGAAGCCTATTCGGTCCATGGGGAAAGCCATCTATGGTTCCTCAGTGTGTCAAGCAATTGTATGAAGCAAATGATTAAGAAATATTCCAGACCGTGGTCAAAACACGCGGTTGTCTTAACATGTCGATCGACCCTGTGATGAAAAATAATCCATGTGCTTGACGAAAACAAAACTATGTGCTGATAGAACCGACTCACATCGCAAATGGGCATCGGTATTGGGCGCAGGAATCGTTTGGACCACCCGTTCAACTGGCTGAAAACCCCACCGAGGCGCTCTCTCCAGCTTGGCTTTCAGCTTCTGCAGGATCAGAATGGAACCCTGGGGGGGTGCCAAAAAGACGCACCCAAATGATGGCTTGGAAGCGAAAAACCAGATCTCTCACCGGCTAAGCAGCGGCTTCCACCACTTTCGCTTGAGAGACCCATCGACCCATTGACCTTTGGTTCACGGCTACAAAGGTTTACCCATGCTGTAATACAATCCCAGGAACCAAACCCACCTCCTTTAGACAACTGAGAGGCCCATTGAAGCATTGGCCATTGGTCAGGTTTGAGCCTTAGAAAACCCCTCTTTTTGTTGTTCAGTCGATTTGAGACCCCCGCAAAAAAAAATACTAAACCCCAAAACCTGGTAGGCTTTTTTTTTCCTGAAGATGCTCCCCCCCCCCCCCCGCAGGCGTCTTTTTGTTTCTTCGAGGCGCCAGCTTCTGAGGGGAGAGCTTGTCCCAGTAGATGCCCGTGGGTTTCGGTAGGCTGCACTCCACCCGGATGGTCCTGGCGCTCTACACGCCGTCTCTCCGAATGGAAAATTCCTCGACGTGGACCACCGCACGGAAGCCCTGGTGTCTGATTTGAGTTCCCAACGTAAGTGCCAACAAATCATGGTTTCAACCATGGTTTCTTAGGTGGTGCGAACGGATTTCGGCCATCCACAGAATGTCAATCTCACCAGGCAGCTGAAGCGACTACACTGGCCCGAGACAAGCGGAGAGCGCTGAGTTTGGCATCCCTGGACTCAACCCCTGGAATGGCTACAACTGGTTTCCATTCGGATGCCACACATATCCCTTTGGCGCTTGCACGCGATAACCAGCCGCCTGGTGGGCGTGCAAATGATGTCCACGGGCACATCGTGGCACAACAGCTTCTCCTAGGCTCAGTGGCGCTTCGTTGGAATCCAATGGCTCGGACCCCCGACATTGGCATTTGTATTTTTTTTGGGAGGGTACCCGCTTCTTGCGATTAAAAAGGGAGACCAAAAGGAAAACTGCCTGTTTTTTGGGGGGTCCCCCACAAACAAAGGCCACCCACCCCTTTTTGCTCCTTGCTCAAAGGTAGTGTCTGATGCCCGAGCTTGTACGCTGCCCACAATCGATACATGCTTTCAAACCTAAAACAAGAATTGGACTCCCACATGGGCATGGGTCAAAAACAGACCAAGGGACCGCATGTTTGCTTCGGCTTTCTCTCCCTTTTCCAGGGCAACCCGTGGGGTTACCCTATTGACCAAGTCTCGAAAAGCAAACCTGTGCAAAATACAAATATTTCGAGTAGTGCTAGATTCCCTTGAAAACCAACGGGGGAAATATAACATATTCTTAAGCAATGGAAGCAAAAGTCAAAAGCCCAAATTGGTTTGACTCGGCTGAGGCTCGGAAGGAATGTCATCCACCAGCTGGCAGTCATGGATGCAGCTCACAACCTTCGCAGCAGCATCCGAGACATCCAGTGGTTGAATGGGATATAAAGCCGACCGCTATATGATGGGCATACACCTGCTTTCGTTGTGGGGCTGAAGAGAGACCATCCAAGATCCTCAGACTCCGAGCAAAAGCCGTGCTCGTGTTCTAATGGCTAAACCGTACCTGTCGAGCACTTCACTTAGTGACTTGAGCGCCCAACAACCCCTTGACTGTTGGTTCTACCACCATGGTGATATCGGTTCCTATGGGCTTTACCATGACCCCAATTCAATGTTGTAGAACCACCTACTCAAAAGGCTAAAAGGGCTTTGCGTGCTGCGCACTGGAAATTGGGGGTCCCTGCCGGCGTGTCATCTGTAATGGCCCCCATCAGACGCAGCATGCCATACTCCAGCTCGGCAAAGCCTGTGCGACGCGTCCCGCTCGCCGAGGGCGAGAAAATCCCCAATCGACCCACACCATTGAATCGGGTCTAAGAAATGGGTTCAATTGGATGCGCGCATGATTGTACTTTGGCTCACACGATCGGACCCGAGAAATTAGACCCTGACATCATGATCCCCCTTTCCAGTCTCCAACTGGGTTTCCAACAATCTCACCCTCTAACAAGCAAGTGGCTTCAGGAATTTTCCGTCAGCTTCCAGTGGAATTTCTTCGGCTTTCAGGGAAATGGGGGGGGGGGGGGGGGGATGGGAAAGCCACCTCCCGCCTTCGCCCTTGCCAAGCCTCGCCCCATTGGCTGCATTCACAGCCACCGAGCCGATGATAACCATATCGACCTTGGCATTTTTTTCAGGGAACCCTTTTTGATGTTGTCGAGGGAGCTAAGGTGAAACCACCCAAATTGGTGAGGGCTTCCCAACAAAAAACTGAGCGCATGTCCACAAGAAGCTTCATCAGCAGGAATCTTTTTACCAACCGGCTGGTGTCCCTTCGGGATCTTCCTCGGCAGGGGGGGGGTAAGCCTCAGGTCTTGACAAACCCACCTGCTCTTTTGGAAGTCTCAGGCTCAGACTTTGAGGTCTGCCTCCAGTTCGATCGGCTCGCCATATGCCACCACGCCAGCCTGTGTGCAGGCGTAGCCTCAAAAACGCATGCGCGCGAGCGTTCGCGAGCATTCCTGCGCGCGTGAAGGAGGGAAACCCAGCCCACTTTGAAGATGTCAATGAAGCCTCTAAAGGTTTTGCCCCGGAGGAGTCCGAAAGAACCCGGGACGCGAGTGCAAACGCGAAGGCAACCAAAGGCCCCCCGGAGCTTTCTGCGAAGAGCTTTGCCAGTCTACCTGCCGCTCTGGAAGGATATCTGTTCAACCAAATACCTGCCACCTGCCACCCCAAAGAACCCTACACACACAAGAACAACAGCGGTATACAAACACCCCAAATCCAACCAACAAAAATGCCAAGAGATTTGCCAAACCCAAGCGGCCGTACTTCTCCGCGGGGATCTTGCTGGGATCCAGCACGCTGAAGAATCCGGTGCGCAACCTGCCAGGCTCCGGCGGAGGGCGAGCTCTATGGGAACGGATTCACAAACCTGTCCTGATGGGGCAGGGGGTTCCAAAGTGAAGGATTCCCACAAGAAAGTCACACCTCCCGATTCACCAAGCCAACCCCGGAAGATTGAACGGGGGAGTTCATGAAACGCCAACCCGAATTCAGAAGGCTTTGTTCAAGCCAAATGCTTCATGTGCCCCCCAAAGATGGGTATCACCCACTTTGAAGAAACGCAAATAGTTGATCTACCCTGGGATGACACACGCAGCGTGCTGCACATCCATCGCGCGAAACGCGCGGAGCAATTTGAGCGGGTGTCAAAACACAGGGACTTGGACCCTCAAATGGATTTCGGTGTTCCTTTCGACTTCCCTTCAAACCAGCCTGAAAAAGGGGCTACCCTCGAAAGGAAAATAACAACGAAGAAAAACCGGGATAACGTGGTTGTCCAGGCGGTTTCCCTTTGAATCCCATTGAACAAGCGGCCCTTCGCCGAGAAAAACGAAGCAGCCAACCCGGCCACAGCCAAAACGCCGCCTGGGCTGCGGCACCAGCAGCATCTTCCCGGCCCGCAGAACCGTGGCCCGGACCTCGGCGCTTTTGCCCAGTCGAAACGAAGCTCCCAGCGGGAAAAAGTGGGCCGAATCGTCTGGTCTTTGGAGTTGGTACCCCTTTTTGCGTGTGTTTCTTTGGGGAAACCAAAGGGCAACCAAGAAGTGGGGTACCATCGCCCGACTGGGTTTATGTAGGCCTTACTGTAACCTTATGCAACCAGGTAGAAACACCTACTAGAATGGGTGTGTTTTTGGAATTGTTACCCCTTTCGGTGGTTTTTAAAGGGTGTGATTCGGGCACGAGCCTGTGCCCAGGCAATGGGTGAGTTGGGGTAAACAAGCCACAAAAGAAAGGTTCCCCAAAAGCAAACCAATCCCCGGTCCCAAAGATCAGGGTTTCCCACACACCAGAGAACAACAACCAAAGGAAATCAAACCAAACAAGAAAAGGGTTAACCCGCAACCTTGGTCGACAACAGGCCGCACGACTGGTCCCTACCAACCTGGCGGCGGCCCGAGGTCTCTTTCTCCCCCGAGATGCCGTCGGTCGACGCAGGGGTTCGGCGACGCCCATTCGAGGCGCGACGGAACCCAAAACTTGAGCCAAAACACCACAGGTCGGTCACTAACGCGACGTCCCTGATGATGATATGAACCATGGCTAATCACACCCCCCTCACGAGGAGCCCGTCATATGACGGGTGGAGCGTGCCATTTACTGATAGGATTTAACTGCTCGCATGCGTCCGCAAACAGCTGGACACTACCGCCGTCAGCGGTGGAGCAAACCCACAAAGGCAGTTGCGCGACATCCCGGGCATTAAATTCCCGCCACCACCCCGAATTAATCGGGGTAACGCAGTCCAACATACCTTGTGGAAAAGTCCACATGACGACACTAGGTCACAACTGTTTGCATCAACAATGCAAGAAGTTTAATTCTTATCAGAAGCCATGAAAAAGAAAGATAACGTATGTCCAATAGTACCCTCGCCTAACGGCAAGAGATACCTCTGACCATGCGTACCTGAAAAAATGCTTGAATTCCGCAAACCCAGGGTTAACCCCCCATCAGTTTGCTTTCCCTCTCACTCACACTGCATCCGGATGAACACGTCCAGCAGCTCAGCAGCGGTACGGGAGAGACATGACCTCCGCGCCTCAGCGGTCCGGGAGAAACATCACCACCTCCACACCGCGCCGACCATTGGAGAATGGACGCCAGCCTATCGGCCGCAATCCCCGTGACTCAGCCTACCGGCTATCGTCACGTCTCCTCCGGTCACGTCCGCCCCGCGCACGGTCCCTATCACGATCCCTTTCGGATCTCCTGCGATCATCTCGCCTTCGATCTCGCTCCCGATCGAGTGAATCATCATCACGACGATCGCGAGCATCGTCCCTCCTCCGGTCGCGATCATCCTCGCGCCGCGGACGGTATCTGCGCCTCCTCGACTCTCTGGAATCCCTGGTGTCCACGGTCCTAACGGACCTCCGAGAAGGAGTACGGGAAACATCCGATTCCCTACGCCTCCTCCCAGATCGAGAGTTCGTCACGATCTGGTTGAGAGCCTCCAGTGCCGACGCCTCCTCACCATTTCTGATGAAATCCCTGACCTGCTTGTTCAGCACTCTGTTGGTGGAGATCGACAAGAAAGCGTCCACCACCGAACTCTCAGGCAGCACCAGGAAGTGACCCTCCACAGGGCTCGCCGCAGCCCGCTCAGCAGACTGCAGCCGGATCTCCCCGCCTTCAGGCTTCTTTGCCATCGCCTTGGAGGCCGTCAAAGGCGCTACCGCATCCTTTGCCGAAGATCTGCCAAGCGCGGAGTGAAGATCATCCCCACTAGCTTCTCTCGCTGCCGCACCTGGTCTGCTGTCGACTTCGCCAGGCCTCGTGGACGCCTCCCGCTTTGTCGACTCCTTCACAGCCTCGTCGGGATCCCAACGGGATTTTCTTTCCCTCTTCTGCCCTTCGGCCGACCCGCGGCTACCGCCAGGAGCGTCACCTCCGCCTATCTTCTCCTTCTTGACCTCAACCTTCGGTTCGGCCTGCTTCGTCTCCTTAGCCACAGCTTTTGGAGCCGGAGCACTCTTCGCCTCAGATGCTGAAGCAGCCTTCCCCCTCGGCTCGGCCTTAGGAACCGGGGTCACTTTAGCCTTTGCACTCGGCCTGGCCCCTTCAACCACCATCTCGGCCCAAGACTTCTTCGGTTGAGCTGCTGCTGTATCAACCTCCATCGGAGCAGGTCCAGCATCATCCTTCGCCTTTGGGACAGATGGGCTACCGCCCTTACCAGATCCTTTACCTGGCACCTCACCTGACTTTGGTGGTGGGCCGGAAGGACTACCGCCCTTACCGCCCTTTTCCCCCTTCTTTCCTTTTCCTTTTCCGCCCTTGGTGACCGGCTCCTGCTTGGGACCAGGACCCGGCGCAGCATGATGCACCGATTGAAGTCCCTCAATGTCCACATTCAATGGTTCGGGTTGACGACCATCAAGAACCGTCCTCACCCTTTCGTCACTAACGTAGACGAACGGGTCACGGAAGGGTGCGGGAGGCTCCGACTGTCCGGCGCTGATCGCCTTCTGCACCTTGGCTATCGCCTCCTTCAACCTCTTCTTCTCATCGTACCCTGTCTCCGATACCATGTACTGCCTGAGCTGCGAAATCAACGCATGACTTTCCAGGATGTCCACGTCCTTTCGATGGGTCGGATACAATGGGGTCAGATGACCAGCCGCGGAGCCAATCACGTATGCCATCGGAATATAGAAGGACAAGTACGTGTCATGGCGAGCGAACTTCCTAACGGAAGTCGTCATACGCCTACCCCATTGAGCAGCGTGCCTTGGGTTAGCCCGGAAGTACTCCGTGACCGACTCAAATCTATCGACTTGGTTGGTCAGAATCAGGTGCTTCGCTACCCACTTCTCCACGAACGCATCCGATGCCGAAATCCCCGACACATAGGAGAATTGGAAGAGCACCTTCGCCAGCTCATCCCACGCCGCATCGACTCCTCCCTTGTCCTCACCAAGATAAGGGGGCAGTCTGATTCCACTCTGCACCGTCATCCTCAGATCAGATGCCATTGAATAGAAAATCAAGTTCCTCTTGATGACTCCGACCACTTCGGTGGGGATCCTCTTGGGCTTAAACTGTCCCATGGTCCTCACCCACTCCGGCACAATGTGGCATCTCTCGAAGTCTTTCTCCTCCGCGTTGGGGATAAAGTTCGGGTAGAAGACCGGGAGCGCGCATCCAGGACACAAATGCATCCCATTTGGCGTCATCTCCGCGCACCTCAAACAGAACGTGGCAGTCACATTCAATCTGACCTCTTCCCGCGATCGCCTGTGCTCTCCCCTAACGGGGGTGAAGTCACCATAGTCCCATGCCCGATGGTACACTATCGTGTAATCATCGTACATGTAGGCCGCCTTCCAAGCTCCCATGTGGATCTCGTTCCTAACGGCCAGAGTCTTCCTTCTTGTCAAAAACACGGGTCCAACCAAGGACCAGTGTACCCGAAGATCCACCATTACCACCACGTACCTACCGGAGTAGTTCCGCAGCCTGTCCCTGACATACCACGAAGGCGATACCTCGGCATCCGGCGCCATGGCTCCCACAAGTGGGATCAGGCCCTCATCCTGCCTACCATCCCCAATGGTCTCGTACACATCGGGCCTCGTGATCAATATCTCGATCATGGCCTTTCCATTTCGCCTTACCCTTTGGAGCTGAACCGCCTTCCGAAAGTCCGAGAACTTCATGATGACGTACCCCACCATGATGGGGAGTTCATTCCAATGCATCTCGTACATCAGAGATCCGCCAGGTGCATCTTCCTGAGTGTACCTATGCCTAACGGCACTGTAACTCATGTCGCGTCCGATCCGCGTGTGCCTAACGGCAACCAACCTGGTGCTCTCTTTGAGGAGAACGTCATTCCCGTCGTACATGACCATGAGCATCGCCTCAACTTGCCCTATCGGGAAAGCTTTGAGCGTCGGAATGAAGAACTTCCAAGACATCTCAGCGTTCTCCATGCCCGAGATCTCCTTCAGGAACCAGATGGCCTGGTCACTTTTCACCCAGTTTCCAGCCTCGCGTCCGGTCTCCTTCAGCACACGTTCCTCGAATAACTCCGAGACTCTCTTTGAATTGATGACCAAACCGTCGAAATCGCACGAGAGTAGTCTCATCAACTCCTTCGCCGCCTCCCGTCCCGCAACGGTGCCCACGGTCTCCTCGTAGTTCGGGAGGTATTCGCCCAACCTCGTCTTCGAGGGAACCACAATCTGGCAAGTGACGGCCTCATCAGGGATAACTCCCGTTTCCCTTAACTCTGGATTGATCTCTCGCCTATCGGCAAGATAATCCTCCTTCCCATCCAGTATCACAAGATTGTAGGTCATCTTGCTCGCCGCCCCACTAGGCCTGAACTTCCTGCTATCATCCAGCTGGTCAGGAGCAAAGGGTCCACTAGGGGCAGCTGCACTCACCAGAGGCGCTCCTCGCCCAGAGCAGAGGTGCTTCTTGTGAAAGTTCACCATCTGATTCAGCTGCGATAGTGCGTAGGCACGATCCTCCAATGACGCACTCTTCATCCCAGCCTCAGTCAGAGGAGCCTCAGGCTTGTCATAACTCGCCTTTCCGCCCCATCTCGCCGCGACCAGCTCAGCAGACTTCGCAGGGTCGATCAAATTTCCCGACCACTCAGGCATGTTGCTCAACCTCCTAGTCAACGCGTCTACCGACGCAGCCAAGTCTTCGTCCGTCACGGTGTAAGGGTCGACCTTCTCCCTGTCCTCTTGACCCACATCCGGAAGCCTATAATCCCCGCGGATGGCCTCCAGCGCGGCCCTCTCGGCTTCCTCAGCCTCCTTCTGCGTGGCCACTGCCCTCGGAATCAAGAGCGCTACCTCGGCCGGCAACGACTTCTCCATGTCTATCGGAGTGTTCTTGGGAAGGATCCTTCGATCATCTCCCTCCCCGCTGTACTCATAGTCAGGAGCAGTCTTCCGGT